CTGTATTCTCAATTCGCTTCTGACAGGATAAATAAAAACGCAGCAAGTACTGTATTTAAACATGAATGTTAAACTCGTGTCCTTTGTTTCATATTTTGTGTATTTTAATATGTATTTTATAGAACTGTTTTAATGTATATCTTTTATAGAAATACGTTTTAATATGTGTATTTGCAGTATTTTTACAATATTTATGTGTTTTAATTATTCTGTCACTTGCCTCGAGCCAGGAGAGGCAAGTAAGTCTTATTATTATTATTATTATTATTATTATTATTATTATTATATTATTATTACTACTACTACTACTACTACTACATCTTGTAGGTTTTAACTCATGCAGCATATTTGATGACTGGTGATGTAATGAGCTTCCTTCAGCCCAAATTGTTCTTTGATCCTCATATGTAAACTATCAACACTGGAATTCAGGAAGGAACTTGCTCCACAAACCTGCATTATGTCCAAGACAAGTGTTTCTTTCGCTACAGCTTTTGCTTTCAGAACAATAAAAAAACACATTCAGAAGGGAAAGACAAATAGCCTTTGAATAAATATTGCCAAGCCAACTCCATGGTAAGGTCGCCATATATTGGAAATAATGTGAAAATTTTTAGATTTGAACCATTTAACAATTCTGTTTATTCCTCTTTTAATGTTTACAAGGGGCGTACATGAAAGATTTCCCCTGACCCACTTCTATGTATCATAGGACTCTGAAACTGCATGTGTAATGATATAAGTCTCTAGGCTACATGCCAATTTGCAACTCGGGACTGGCAACGGTCTTGATTGTACAGGTGCTGAAGTGCTGTGAGGTTTGAGAATGGACCCAGTGGAAGACTGAGCAGTCCTCAAGTTCCTTTTCTTGAAAGGCAGCACACCAAAAGAGACATTCGAGGAGATGATAGAAGTTTATGCTAAGGATTCTGGCATCGTCCATTCCAATGTGGTCAGACTTCGGTGCAAACAGCTCCGATTCTCTGCTACTGATGAATACACCATCCAGCAAGTGGAGGTCGCCATTTTGGAAAATGGCGTAACCATTGGCCACCTAGCCCAAAATGTCAAGATGAGTGTGGGGTCCGTGGAAAAAATCACCCAAGACCTTCTTCCCATGCATGTTGCTGGGTACTTGGCTGCTCACACCTTTCCAGAAGCAGGAACGAGTCAAATGCTCTCAGGCTCTCTTGACAATGATGTGCCATGGAAACCAGGACTTTTTCCATCAACTGATCACACAAGGTGAAAGCTGGGTCCATCACTATGGTCCTGAGACTAAAGTGCAGTCAATGCAATGGAAGCATCATGACTCACCACCTCCATCTGTAGACAAGGTCATGCTCAACAGTATTTTGGGACCAGGACGGAGTAGGATTGATGGATTTCCTGGCAAAGGGGCCATGATCACCATGGCACATACTATGCTTCACTGCTGCAGAAATTGCAGGAGGCCATCAAAATCAAGAGACAACGTGGTACGCTCACTAAAGGTGTCCATTCCACCTTCTGCAAGACAAGACACCAGTTCCCAACTCCTATGTTGCCCAAATGGAAGAAGCATGCTCCGGTGGCTTTAAAATTCGGCCACATCCCCTATTCACCACCTCACACCATTGGACTTCCACGTCTTTCCAACAAGGAAGTTATTTTTTTGAAGGGAAAGCATTTCTCAGGTGATGAGACGACGTGGCTTTTGGAGCAACCTGTCGACTTCTCCAGTGTTTACAGTTGTTTAAAAGATGGGAGAAGTGTGTATCCCGATGTGGCACCGCTAGATAGGAGGACTCAGAACTGGGCCAAGTTGCATTGCTCTGAGTCCACAGGAAGTGGCTTGGGATAAATCTTTCATGAACGCACCTCATATATGCCGTGAGTTTCAAATTACAAATTTATACTCTTTTTAGTGTTATGAGCCACTACTGAGTCTTGTTAAGAGAAGAAAGCAGGATCTAAATAAATATAATAATAACAGTACTGTTTTCAGGGGAAGGACCTGGCAAAAGCACCCCTGAGTATCCCTTTCCTATGCAATTCCAAGGATTGTTAAGCCAGAAGGCAGAGAGAGAGACGCAAATGCAATTTAGAAAGAAAAAGAAGAATCATTTCATTGGCTCCCTTTTGGGATTACTTTAGGATGCTTTTTAAAATGTTCCTTCCAGCCATAAGGTCATTTGTCCCTTTGGTTTAAGGAAGGTTTTTTGTCTCGGGTGGGGCATTTCAAGACAAAGCAAAGTGAACTTCCAACTCTGTAGGGATCCACACATTTCTTTCAAACCTAGAAATGTTTGGGAAAATGGCAAAAATAAGAAACAAGTATTAAAGATGGAATTAGCAAACTCACATCTTTTATTAACATCTTAATGGCTTCGGGAGGAAAGTCCACAAACTTCGAGATGAACTTTATCAAAACACATCCGTCTGAATGAAACAAGACCAAAATGTGTTGCATTTTTCAAAACAAAAAAAAAAGTTTGAACAGAAAACACCTCGTCGTCCTCTTTTGTTAAATCCCATCAATGGGATTTCATTTCGTTTATGGATCTCTTCACTAAAGCGAGTCCTTTAAAAACTGTCAAGCGTGGTAGACTCTGGAAGTAAGGAAAGGGCTGATGAAACCAACTGAAATAGATTTGGGTTGCTGCGCATTTTTCAGGCTGTATGGCCATGTTCCAGAAGCATTCTCTCCTGACATCTATGGTAAGCATCCTCAAAGGTTGTGAGGATGCTTACCATAGGCAACGGGGAAAGTGGGGTTTATATATCTGTGGAATGTCCAGGGTGAGGGAAAGAACTCTTGTCTGTTGGAGGCATGTGTTAATGCTGCAATTGATCATCTTGATTAGCACTGAATGGCCTTGGGAGTTTTTGAACCAACTGGGCACAGCATATTATTTGAGAACACAGAAATGTTGGACCGCTCTAAAACTACCATGTCAGATTACAGAGAGAAGTGATTGAAATCCACAAGCATGTGGACAATTTCCACAGAAACAAGGAAACTATGAAAATGAACAAAATCTAGCTACTAGTATTTAAGAACTCTAAAATCAGGATAGTGAATGTAGAACAACATTCAAAAAATGGAGGAATTCCAGACAGGAATAAATCAGGGCCAGCTAATCACCTCCCAACAAAGGATTCCCCCAGGCGGTAAACAGCCAGACCTTGAAACTAAAAGGCTAATTAATGCTAATCAAAGTGGTCAATTGAAACATTCACACCTGCCTCAAACAGACAAGAGTTCTTTCTTTCTCCCACCCTGGACATTACTCCACAGATATCTAAACCTCACTATCTCAGCTTCTAACAGACCTCACAACCTCGGAGGATGCCTGCCATAGATGCAGGCAAAACGTCAGGAGAGAATACTTCTGGAACATGGCCAGACAGCCCGAAAAACACATAGCAACCCAGTGATTCTGGCCATGAAACCCTTTGACGACAAATTGAAATAGATTTGTCAGCCCAGTTTTCTTTAGCACTTTAGGACAGCAGAGGAGGAAATCCCATTGCAAATGCCAGGTGACCATCAGTTCATTTTCTCATCCTATTTGGACGTCTAATCGAGATCTTGAAAAACATGCAACTTTCAAAAATACCAAGGAGCCCTGACTTCGTCCCTTTTCTCATCACCCCCTTCAAAAAAGGTATTAAAGCTTTAATTGTCATAAATCTGTGTCCAAATACAGAGAAAGAAAAAAAGAGAATCTAAGGTTAGCAATCGGCATGGACCGACCCAAGAAACCTTCTGGTTTTAAACTGGGCGATACTGACAAGTCATGGGCTCCATCTGTTACAATGCAGCACCAAACTCACCCCAAACCTCTCTTTTGGAAGAAATCGCAGACATAGAGGTGACAGTCAGAAGACATGTTTACGCAGATTGGAAAAGGCAGCAAGGAGACATAAATGAGAGCAAACTCTGGAGATGAAATTTTGAAATATGCTTTTATTTTATTCTTTTGGAGCCAGGTTGAGAACCGGCTTTTCTCAGCAGCTGCAGCCGGCATGGGTGAACTTGGCCCCTCCAGGTGTTTTGGACTTCCAACTCCCACAATTCTGGGGCTGCTGGGGGGGGGGGGGGGATGAAAGGGCCTCAGGCTGTTAGGAATTGTGTGAGTTGAAGTCTAAAACACCTAGAGGGCCCAATTTTTCCCATGATTGAGCTACAGGATAACACAACCGCCCAGGGCTGCTTACTAGAAATCTGAAGCCACCTGGCTCTATTAGTTTTGGGATGGCGGCTGCGAATACAGTCGGCGCAATACTAATCCCCCCCCCCCCCCTTTTCAAGATTCACTTGTCCTCTCCTTTGGCCAAACTCACTGTCCCTATTAGCTCCATTGAGTAATGAAATCCAAAGGGGAAAGGACTGTTGCATTTCCAGGCCCACCCTCCCCATATGTCAGAGGGTCAGGTCTTCCCATAAAAATACATCATTTGGCTTCTGAACAGCTAAAACTCAATGACCCCTCAATACATTGCTCCACTACAACCAAAGTAGAACAAAGAAGTCTACTCCTCCACTTGGGATGAAGAAATACTAAACTTAAGGGGTCATTTTCTTTATTTTTCTCCCCGTTTTTGTGTTTTCATCCCTTTTTTTTTTTTTGCACTTTCTGAAGGCTAAACAAGGAGGTAGGATAGAATGGGTTTTTTGGCCTCTGAAAAATTCACAATGCTTCACTCGGCAGAAGCGGAGCATCTTCCAGACTTCCAAGCCTGATCTGCCCACTGCTACATAAAACCATATACAAGAGGCATTCATTAAAAACTTCCCCTGACCCACTTCTATTTCTTACAGGATGCCAAAACTGCCCATGTGTAATGATGTAAGTCTCTATAAGTTACGTACCAATTTACAACCCAGAACGGATTAACGGTCTTGACTGTACAGATGCTGAAGTGATGTGAGGTTTGAGAATGGACCCAGTGGAATACAGAGAAGTCCTCACGTTCCTTTCCTTGAAAGGCCACACACCAAAGGAGACGTTCGATGAGATGAAATAGATTTATTGTGAGGATTCCCCATCACATGATGGAGTCAAGAACTGGCATCATCCATTCCAATGTGGTCGGACTTTGGTGGAAACAGCTCCAATTCTAGGGCCAGCCCACTCTGCTATTGATGAGCACACCATTTAGCAAGTGGAGGTTGCCATTTTGGAAAATTGCCCCATAACCATTCACCACATAGCCCAAAATGTCAATATGTGTGGGCTTCATGGAAAAAAATCACCCAAGACCATCTTCACATGTAGAAGGTATGCGCTTGCTGGGTCCCTCGGCTGCTCACACCTTTCCAGAAGCAGGAACAAGTTGAATGCTCTCAGGCTCTCTTGACAACGATGTGCCATGGAACCAGGAGGACTTTTTCAACAGACTGATCACACAGGATGAAATCTGGGTCCATCAATCGGATCCTGAGACTAAAGTGCGGTTGATGCAATGGAAGCATCATGACTCACCACCTCCAAAGAAGGCACGTGTCCAACTCTCGTCAGGCAAGGTCATGTTCACAGTATTTTGGGACCAGCACGGAGTTGGATGGATGGATTTCCTAGCAAAGGGGACCAAGATCAGTGGGGCAGACTAGGCTTCACTGTTGCGCACATTGCAGAAGGCCATCCAAACCAAGAGACAGTGAGGAATGTTCATCAAAGGTGTCCTTTGCCTTCTGCAAGACAATGCACCAGTTCACAACTCACCTGTTGCGCAAATGGAAGCATGCTCCTATTTGGCTAGGAAAGTCGACTGCATCTCCCTCATTCACCTGACCTCGCATCATCGGACTTCCACCTCTTTCCAACAAGGAAGTTATTTTTGAAGGGAAAGCATTTCTTAGGTGATGAGACTCTGATTTCCGAAGTCACAAAACTTTTGGAGCAACCTGTCGGCTTCTCTAAGCAAGGTGTTGACAGTTGCTTCAAAAGATGGGAGAAGTGTGTGTCCCAAGGTGGCACCGATGGAGGGAAGGACTCAGAATGGGGCCAAGTTTCACTGTTCTCCATCCACAGGAAGTGGGTCAGGAGAAATCTTTAATGAACACCCCTTGTAGCTCTACATGGTAAATCAAGTCAAGCTTACCTCAACTCAAGTCGAAAAGTCCACTAACAGTTAAGACCAAAGTTATTCTCTATTATCTCTGGCGGGGCAAAGAAACGAGAGCGTGGCATGTTTGGTTAATTCAAAGTCTAACAATGTATTCGAGATTCACATGCAAAAGCCAAAGCCAAAATCATTGAACTCTTCTAAGATCTTACTCTTTAAAGTCACATAGATCTTTTTCCTGCCTCTTTCAAAAGAAAGAGGCATACAAAAGCAGAGCGACTCCTGTGAAAAAATATTAAAATCTGCCGAAAGATTTTACATGATAAAAGGAGTACATGTCAATGTAAAAACGGACAGGTATTTAAAAAGCTGGTTTTGTAAGAATGTGTTAACATTTTAATCATAACGACGTCTGAAACCAGGCTGAAGTTCACCAGTGAAGTAAACTCAACAGGGATTTTTTTTTATCCCAGGCACCTTCCCACATTGAACAAAAGCGACAAGACAAAAAAAGGGTTGGATCCAAACGCAGAGAGCTCTGTACAACTACTTCCTGTGTGTCAATGACAACTTCCCCCCTTCTGCCACTCTCCTATTTTTAATAATTTAAACAGCTGACAGTAAGGCAAAAATCCACTTGGTTGAAAAATGTCTAGATACAAAATAATGTAAACCAATAAGTTATATTTGAAACCCCAGTATAACAAAAGCGAGAGGAGATGGACACTTTATACAACAGGCTCTCTCTTTAAAACAGAATTGTGCACAAGCTGAAGATTGCGACAAACAAACCTTCAGGGTTCACACAGTTTTGGCGTGTTATTATTTTTTTTGTTTGTACAACTTCTTTCATATACATTTTGTTTAAAGTCATACCAGGAATGCAAACTAGAACTGCACGCTACTTACTTCAGTGGAAGAAAAAAAACCAAACAAGTTTTGATATTGTGCAATTTCCTGCCCCAGTCTAAAAAGTGGCAGAAATCCCTGCATTGGTTGTGTTTCAAACAAAGATCTTTACGAAACACATCTCGAAAAGAGGAAAAGAAGGCAAAAGTTGGCAGATATCCAGCATCTAGTATTTTTTTTCCTTGTGTGTTTAAAAAAAATGTGGACAACAAAGTTTCATGATTAAAAATAAATACTGTTTTGACTTTTGCACTGACTTGATTGGATAGATTGTTTGGAAGTAAACAAAGGATTTACACTGCTCCGTCTATAGCCTCCAAGCCGCCGTTGTTCTGTTCCAGAGTCCTTCGCTTGCTCTCCCCTCACTGCGTCTCAAAGCCGGCCATCCGATATCCAGTTTGACTCGTCAAAACACTTCCGTTCTGCCCTTGGGGCGGGGGAGGGGGCGGAGGAGGAGGGGGTGGCACTCCGTAATTGGCCCCCATCCAGGCGGGAGAAGACTGCGTCTGGCTGCAGGGAGGAAAAATGGGGGAGGGAGAGGGAGGGTTTTCAGCTAGGCAAAGGGGTTGGAGCTGGAGTTCAGCAGAGAAGGCGCAAGACCTTGCAAAGCTACAATTCCCAGGATCTCACCTCATTTGAGCCAAGGTCATTTGAATGGTCAAGATCTTGCTAAGAAAACTTACACTATGTGTTGGAAATTATTGGAAAGCATGCCATGCACAGCCCTATTCCAAAAAGAATGCATCAATAACGCACATGGCATTGGGTTGGAAATGATTGGAAGGTACACCATGCAAAACCCTATTCCAGAAATAGTGCATGTATCAATGACACACATTGTTGGAAAAACAGCAACCTTCCAAGCCGCCACTAACTGTTGTAAGTGTGTATAATTGTTAACCTATATAGTATGTACATTTTGGTTTGCCAGTTTGATTGTACCTCTTTGGTGTGGGAGGGGCTTCAGACACAGGACTCCATTTTTGTTATACAGTATGCCTTTAGACATCAATGCAAGTGGACGCAGTTTGTCTCTTTTCAGACTTCAGTGAGTACAGTTATACAGTTTTGTACTATATCTATATGCTAAAGACATATGACTATGGACTAATATGCTCAATATACACAAGAAGTTTGTTAGCAAACCTGAGATGTTATTTTTAAAGAAGACTACTTTGTATTGTCTCTTGAGTGCATGTTTTAAACAAGAGGTTTTCAAAGCAGTGTATATCTTTTGGACAATTACAACTGTAAAGAAACAACTATCCTCTGCTAACCCAATATATTTTTGTAGTGGCATGCCTTTATCCGTGGCAGTTTAAAGACATGGTTCTTCAGTTCAACAGCTGAGTTACCTGCGTGCCATTACACGAATGCTTGTGAATATCACTTGTTCAAAGAGTCGACTTATTATTATTTTTATTTATTTATGGCATTTATATGCCGCCCTTCTCACCCCAAAGGGGACTCAGAGCGGCTTACAAGATATATTTTCATACTATATATTATTAGGATAGTACAATATCAGTATTATATATTACTATACCATTATATTGTAATATTATTAATAATATTACATGTAATGCAAATATATAATTATAATTATAATATTGTATTATTATTACTAGTATTATATTGTATTACATTATATTATAATATATATATAAAATAAAATATATATTATATCTGCTCCCCTCTGTCTTCACTCTGGCCAGAGCAGCAGTTGGTGCCAGAGGGGATAGGGGCCTCTCAACTGATAATATAGGCAGAAGACAAGATGGAAATGTCTTCTGCTCCCCTCTGTCTTAACTCTGCCCAGAGCAGCAGTTGGATAGATTGTTTTGAAGTAAATAATCTAACAAAGGTCATGCTTTTCTTAACTAGTGGTTTTCAAAAGGTGGTCTCCACATGTTTATGGAGATTCATATTTGCCAAACAGATGTGCCATCATTTTTATCTTCTCAATAAGGTTATGGTGCACTTATTTCCAATAGGTTATGTAATTTCCAATACAAGGAATGGAGTCAAGTCGCCTTGGGTCACAAAATTCAGTCAGGAAAGAAGGAAGTCGCATACGCAACAGCCTATCTGTCTATCTATCAGCAAAAGTATGCATGCATATATGTTGGCTTGCCCATTTGCACCACAAAGGCTTCTGCATGGCTTGATGGATCTGGATCCAAACTGGCACACAGACTCTTCATGATCCAACGTTAAATAATTGAGGAGATTGAATTTAAAAATAAACCCACTCCTTTGGGGCCCAGAGCAAAGAGAAAGTAAAGGAGAAAGAAAAAAAGATAAAGAAGTGGGAGGGAGGGAGGAATGATTGGAGAAGGAAAGAAAGAAAAGAAGGGAAAGAGAGGACAAAGGGAGGGAGGGAAGAAAGAAAAATAAGGGAAAGAAAAAAAGAGGGAGGGAGGAGACAGAGGGGAAAATTAACTGACAAAGGAAGAGAGAGAAGAAAAAGAAGGGAAAGTAAAGAAATGGAGGGAGGAGAAAGAGAGTAAGAATTAACTGACAAAGGAAGGGAGGGAAGAAAGAAAAAGAAGGGAAAGGAAAGGAAGAGGGAGGAGATAGAGGAGAAGAATTAACTGGCAAAGGAAGGGAGGGAAGAAAGAAAAAGAAGGGAAGGGAATAAAAAGAAAGAAAAGGGGTAAGGTGCTTGAGGGAAAGCAAGGGAAGAAAAGAGAGAGGGATAAGGTGTATTATGAGGGAAAGGGGAGAAGGAAAGAAAGAGCCACAAACAAAAAACAAACCCAGGCAATGCTAGTATTTAGAAAAGGCTGAGTGTCCTCAATAATAATAATAATAATAATAATAATAATAATAATAATAACAATAATAATAATAATAATAAACTTTATTTATACCCCGTCACCATCTCCCCAATGGGGACTCGGAGCAGCTTACATGGGGCCAGGCCCAAACAACAATTACAATAAAGAAAACCAAAACACAACCAAAAACGCAAACAATAAACATAATAAACATCATAATTACATAAAACATCAATGACTCCTCACTTCCTAAATACTACCAGCAACTTCACTGATTAAGAAACGCCGCATGACCAAGACCCACAAGACCAGTGGATTAATTAAGCAAAATGTTCACTGGAAGGATTAGTGACACAACATGCTGAAAGACTGTCCTGGCTGCAAAGATTTCTCAACACAGATGCCAGATGCAAAAAATGACTTACTTAAATCCCTGATTCCATGCCTGTCCATACATTCCATATGCCGGAACTTGCCAGCCGTTAGGCATGTACTGGCCGATCTGCTGCGCATTTCCATACCACTGGCCCCACTGACCGTAAGGAGGTGGATATCCCACTTGATTCTGCTTAAAAAATAACATTGGACCATATTAGTGCACCAGACCATCTTCCTGCTCTGAAATCCATGCCCCTCAAAGCAAGAGACACTGCGTGCACTTCAAAGTGTGTAAATTCACACCACAAAGACTGTTAGGGCATTCTGGGTGGGGAAAGGCATCCGGGTTTCTTACCTGTTGGATTGGATTGATCATATCTGGCGTCTCTTTGCCCCAGTAACATTTCACCACGTGTCCTTCTATAGTTGTGCCATTAACCGAAACAATTGCGTGGGCAGCACTTTCATGAGAATTGAACCTGTAACAGTACAAGGTACTCAGTCAGTCCCACCCCCTCTCACAAGGAAACGGCAGGGCTTCTCAAGTTCCCTTAAACTCTACATTCTTTTATCAAAAACACATACGACTGGAACTCTTGCGAAGGTTATAATAAAACCTAAATCTTTTGAACCTAGCCTCAGCAGACGGTGAAATCCTACTGATACATTCTCAGTAAAATCCACTGATTCCACGGATGTACAACAAACTCAAATTCTGTCAGTTGGATATATAGGCTTAGTTGTACATCAGGCATAATCTAAGGGAAACTTCCCATCATACACACACATATAAAGGGAAACATAGCCTTACCGCACAAAGGAGTACCCTTTATCTGGGAAGACCCGGATTTCCATTATTTGCCCAAATGGAGAAAACGTCTGGCGCATGAGCTGTTCTGCAAATCAGAAGACAAAAGGTAAAAGTCAAAACACATACCATATATACTCGAGTATAATCCGAGTTTTTTATCCCTCTTCAGGCTGAAAAAGCCCCCCTCAACTTATACTCGAATCAAGGTTATTATTTATTATTTTACTCTGTTGTTGTTATTATTATTATTACTATTAATATTTTGCCCTATTTATTATTGTTATTACATTTACATTATTTTACTCTATTATTTGTATTATTATTATTATTACATTTACATTATTTTACTCTATTATTTGTATTATTATTATTATTACATTTATTATTTTACTTGATTATTATTACTTTTACATTATTTTACTCTATTATTTTTATAATCGCATTTATTATTTTACTTTATTATTACATTCATTATTTTACTCTTAATTATTATTGCAGGGATATGTAAGCACATTTACATTGATGGTTAGAATAATGGTTGAATCAGAGTTGGACAGTCTTATCTAAATAATTTATTTCAGTCATTGACCAGCACAGGAAATAGAGTCACATTTTCTTATCTTAAATTAGTTTTATGTAAATATTCAAAAACACTGAATCTTCAGATCCCTCCATTAATGTCATTTTATTGGTATCTATTTTTATTTTGAAATTTACCAGTAGCAGTTGCCTTTCCCACCCTTGGCTTATAGTAGAGTCAATACATTTTTCCCAGGGTTTTTTTTTTTGGTGGTAAAATTAGGTGCCTTGGTTTATATTTCAAGCGTTTGGCCCATAATAGGAATATTTAAAGTTAAAGTGAAAGCTGAAAGTGCAATTACCCAGGACTGTTTATGTCTTTGTGTGATACGTGATTTTGTGTGCTGTGTTTAATAATGTTCAATGTTTTATTAGGGGAGGGTCAATTTTGATGTTTTATCCTGTTTTTATCAATGGCATTGAATTGTTGCCAACACTGTGAACCACCCCGAGTCCTCTTCAGGGTTGAGAAGGGCAGGATACAAATACCACAAATAAATAAATAAATATTCGGGTCAGTTTATACTCAAATATATATGGTAATTAAGAGCCTGCTTCTAAAGGCTGTTCAAAATTCATGACCCCTCGCACCTGTTAGTCCTGAAGTAACGCCTCCGCAGTATACGGTGCAGTTGCTTGGGCTGGACTGATTCACGACATCATCGTAGGAGAGCTGTTTGGCATTTGCTGTATGAAGAGGAATGAATAGGAAGAACTTGATACAGAGCATCAGACCTATGAAAGACCTATTAAAGCAGGGAACACTCTTTTGGATAGTCACTTCTGATAAGATACAGTGACGTTATAGGATTTTTAAATTCCACAGACTCACTCTCATATGTACTCTTTGGAGCCGGAGGTTTGCGGGTCGCCCAATTTGTCCTAATTTGTCTCCCACCAAGCCACTGTCCTCCCATCTGCTGTATCGCATTCTCAGCATCCTGTCCAGAGAGGATGAAAATACACTTTCAGAGCTAGTTAACCTGAAATTTCCTAAAAGTCATCCAATACAGCAGACGTCAACGAATGGTAATTCAGAACAAAATGTATGCTTGCATTACAGCAGGGATTCCCAACCTTTTTTTTTTTTTACCAGGGACCACTTGACCAGAGGGAGCCCCCGGTGGCGCAGTGGGTTAAATCCCTGTGCTGGCAGGACTGAAGACCAACAGGTTGCATGTTCGAATCCAGGGAGAGCGTGGATGAGCTCCCTCTATCAGCTCCAGCTCCCCATTGCGGGAACATGAGAGAAGCCTCCCACAAGGATGGTAAAACATCAAAGCATCCGGGCGTCCCCTGGGCAACGTCCTTGCAGACGGCCAATTCTCTCACACCAGAAGTGACTTGCAGCTTCTCAAGTCGCTCCTGACACGAGAAAAAAAAAAAACTTGACCAGAGACCACTTTGACCAGGGATCACTCTCCAACATTCGTACCAAAAGGGTTACGAATCACTTTTTGGTCAACTTTTAGATTTGGTTGGATTATTTGGGGTGCTGATTCAGAAAATTGCATTGGATAGACCACATCAAATCAATTTCTAACAGCTGGCTCTTTTGCGAGCAGTCCTTTTGGCCACAGATTTCCCCAAAGTGATCAAATAATCTCATTAGGCACATGAATGCTTCCAAAGACATTCAAAGCACCTACAATACCCCCAGAACCTCACATACTATTTCATAGGGAAAGGGGTACTGAAATGGTTAAAATAAACATAACCCGCAGTCTCTTGGCTTCACAATGATAAAGAGCTAAATCATGTATAAGCAATTAGCCACATCGAACCAGATTACATTCCAGTTTCCATCCCAGCCTCCCATCTACCGAAGAGGCACATTTCATCCCACTCAAGAGGGGGGAAGAGGTCCTACATTCAACCTCAAAAGTACAATACAGAAAAATCCAGGAGAAAACTACAAGATCATTTGCATGTACCAGATATGTTTCCACCAGGGACAAGCAGGGGATTCGAATATGCCTGTGTTTAGTATTGGAATCGATCCCCTTTGCATCCCAAGAGTTTAGATATGAACAGAAACAACTGACAGAGAGGTTCCACAATATTAAGCTGACAATTCTGCCCCTGAGGTGATGAGAACTGATAGGTTTGTGCCTTCTGCCTCCCTCTTGCTTTCTCACCCATTTATTGAAGAAAGAAACAAAGCCATATCCTTTAGATTTTCCCGTTGCCATGTCCTTAACCACCCGAGCGTCCCTACAAAGGAAAGAGAAGGTCGGTTAAGCCCCGACAGACAGGATCCAAGTGAAAATGTCTCACACGCAGCTCATTTCTCATGTTTCTCCTTTAACAAAACAAACTTCTTAAACGTACCAGCAATATACAGTACAGTCAAAGCAATGTTTCCCTTTCACTAAAGTATTATCATACGATAGCAAGAACTTAAACTTAATGGTGTAAACATGCAAAATCAATAGCTTTCTTTTAAAGAAAAAAACAACTATTTTACAATTGTTGGTTCACAGTTCAAAATGCTCTTACATACGGTTAAAAACACTACTACGCATGGTCAAAGCAGCTACTCAACGGAATAACTGAGGGCATGTAGCTGACTAGCATATTAGCGACCGGCTCTCTTTAACCATGCAATTTATAAACTTACTATTGGCCAACACATTCTACCTACTTATTAGAAATAGAAATAGAAAAAATGAAAAAATAGGAATTAAAAGGCATACGTCGCCTGTTAACTGAATTCTTTAATTTTCTCAGGTCAATTCGTTACCCCCTTTTTGGACTTGGGCAGCTGTAAATTTTGAGAAATTGACATTTTCAGAAATGGTTGCATTATGGAAGAAAATAAACACTAACATGTTCTTTCTTTTCTTTTACTATACACTATTAAATAATCGTTCTTAAAAACGGCATTCGTAATTAACAATCAAACAGGACTGATTGAAAACTACAAAGTATATAAAGTAAAAAATGTATAAAAGGAAATAGAAAAACTACAACGTTTGTCCACTGTGAACTGTAGCTTGCAGTTAGCCATGGCATTGCTCTCCGTTCTTCAGAGACATTCTGCAAAATAACCAGAGCCCTATTATTTGAGATTGAGTTAAAAAAAAAAGACAAAGACCCAGCTACAATAGCTAAACCCCACTGGTGGCCTGTTTACACATCTACTATTAACCAAATGTACCTAAATTCACACGCAAGAGGTTCCCAAACACAAAAGCCTGCTTCACCCTCCCCAACCCGCTAGAATCAAGCACTAAACACACACACAGAATATCCCAGAATAGAGCCAGTAAGAAAGCCATGCAGTGTAAACTGAGGAGTCTGATCCATTTAGCAAATCTAAGAGAGATGTTATGGCATCAGAAGATCTTCAAAACCATTTCAACATATACACATTCATTGCAGAAATGTGATTTTAGGAAAAGAGCTAAATAATCTAGAAATTGCTGAGACTAATGGACTTCGGTATATCTTAAGTGGCTACTCCACAGAAACCAAAAGAACCTGGCTTTATTTTAAAAAGTAGAGATACACCTCAGAAGTATCATTTGTCTAAGTTACAGCTACATGACAAATAGGGCTGAAAATAGTTTCTTTTGTAATCACATCGATGGGTGCTCTCCACACATCCTAAAATGTAAATACTTACCCTTATAATTCTTAGAAATAAGACTCCGAAAGACAAACCAAGCAAGCCACAGGAGGCGAACCCATTTACATAATACTGAATAATTATGAAGTGGTAGCTACGCATTAGCATATTTATTTATTTATTTATTTATTGACTGTGTTTTGTACCCCGCTCTATCTCAACCCCAAAAGGACTCAGAGCGGCTAAGAAAATATGAATTCTCACTGTTACAACATTATTTGAATTAATACTAATTATATTTTCAAGAACAACCAGTGGACTATTTAAAACACCTCAGAAGCAACGACTGACTAAAATAAATACTAACCACCACCAACACAACAAGACTAACTGGCCTTTTGGTTTGTTTTTTCCTTTTAAATGTGACTTTTTGTTTGCTTTTGTTTGTTTTTCTTCTTCTTTTTAAACATTATATCTAGACATTATACAACTAGAATTACAACTCAGCTAGGAAAACCAATACTTTGACCACTTACTGGAATCTGGAATACTTTAACAAGTTTTAACTGTATTAATTGAGAGCCATACTAAATCACAAATTGAGAGAAAAGTACAAGATAAATTAATTACATGAAATTAGTAAATAAATAGAAAGTTTCAAGCTTCTAAACCAGGTAAATTATTTGACACAGGTGTATGCTTTGACTGAAAGTGAAGAAACAGAGCAGAACACTGCAGATGTGAAACTGTGAACATATTTTAGTGATGCTTTGCTTTTCCTTCTTCTTCCAAGGAAAAGCAGGAATATTTGGGAACAGGGACGGAAAGACAACTTGACATGCAAACACTGTGGGAAGGGCCTGCAAGCTGCCCACAACCTTTTTCTGGGAAGTAGAGGGAAAGATCCATGTCCCATCAATAGCCAACATGGTTTCCTTTCTTGAGGGAGCATATTTAAATGGTCCTTTTCGATCCCTAATGTTTATTTTACCTGCCTCAATCTTAGTTCACTTGTGTATGTAAACTGCAGCATAAAAAATCTGGCAAAAATAAACAAAGACACAGGACCATCCAAGAGAGCCGAAGAACATCAGTAGCAGGGAGCTTGGAGGAAAAGGCAGTGTTTGTCTGATGCAGGCTGCCTTTGAGCTCAGCTTCTGGTGACTGGCTCCTTACAGACACAGGCCCTGACTGCCTGGCTGAAGCAAGGCCCACCAGACACACCTGCTGCCTCCAGAGGCTAGGTCATAAAAGGAGGACGCAAGTGGGGCCTCAGTCACACAGCACCATCCAAGAGAGCCAAAGACGACTTTAAGATCATGACAGGGGGAGGGCCTAGTAGGGTGTATCATGATGCTGCTAGAATAGTGGTGGACTGCGATGCTACTACTTGACCTAGACTTGAGAAACACTATTATGCAAGTTTGACAAGTGACAAAATACAGTCTAACATCCTATCACGACACAGTTAGAAATGAAGCAGCCGAATGATGATTAAGACATTGGTGCAATGCATTATTTGTGTATGGGGTTATTATGTTTCAATATGAAGTTGACACTTCGCACCTTGTGAAATGATGGCAGTTTTATCTACTGTTGTTTTAAAATTCTATTATTTTGTTTTTATGCTGCATGTGTTGAAGGCGGTTGTTATAATTTTATGTGACTTGTTTTATACTTTTGTGTCATTTTTATCTGTTGTATGTTATATGTGCATCCTGGAGTGCCTTGTGAGCCGCCCCGAGTCCCTTTGGGGAGATGGTGGCGGGATATAAATGGTTTTAAATTGTATTAATATCTATTTTTCTATGTTATGTTTTTTTGGTCTGTATAATTAGACACTGAATTTTTGCCTAGATGTATTGTCGAAGGCTTTCATGGCCGGAATCACTGGGTTGTTGTAGGTTTTTTCGGGCTATATGGCCATGTTCTAGAGCAGTGGTTCTCAACCTGGGGTCCCCAGATGTTTTTGGCCTTCGACTCCCAGAAATCCTAACAGCTGGTAAACTGGCTGGGATTTCTGGGAGTTGTAGGCCAAAAACATCTGGGGACCCCAGGTTGAGAACCACTGTTCTAGAGGAATGCCTCTAGAACATGGCCATATAGCCTGAAAAAACCTACAACAACCCCTTTTGCCTAGATGTATGTTGCACACCACTCTGAGTCCCCTGTGGGGTTAGAAGAGCAGGATAGAAATGAAGTAAATAATAATTTGAAGTGCAGCTATTCTGAACCAAATCACTTCATATAAAGCCTGCAGAATATCAGTGCATGATGCTAGCAGCAATATAACTTTAGGAGGGAATATTGCCAGTGCTCTCAATTTGAACTGAAGTGCTAGCCAATTAATACCCCACTGCCTGACATTTCTGAGAGAAACAGACACTTCAACTTAATACATTTAATCCTGTGACGTTATCACACTAGAGAATAAATCTGCATCCTGCAGAATTCTGGGGTTTGTAGTTTAGGGAGGTGGCTTTAACAGCCTCACTAAACAACAAACCCCAGAATTCTGCAGGCATGCCAGCAAAACCAGATTTTAAGTGTATTCATTCCCTAGTGTGATGAGCTAGCTGGAGTTGGAAACATGCAGCTTTGCAGATGCCATTAGACTTGTCAGAATAGGAACAGACTGCTGCGGGTTCCCAACCAGAACTCCTTAAGAAACAAATGGCTTATCCATCCATCCCCAGTCTTTCAATCGATCTTTTTACTACCAGGGGGGGGCACACAGATATTTTCACTAAAAGGACCAATGTGCCTGATGCGGCTGAGGGGGAAAAGGAAAGGGCCTGAGGCCAGGAATTATGGGAGTTGAAGTCCAACACACCTGAAGGGCCAAGATTTGCCAATGCCTCGGCTAGAAGGAATAACTACAAGCTAATGTTTCTTTAGGAGGCTTTTTAAAAAATTCCCCTTCCCCTTCCATCCAAGATTGTTTGTTCTCAACTCATGCCAGCAACCTGCAGTGCTCTGGACAACATCCCAGACCAGGCAGCCTTGCAGCAGTAGCTGTGAATCCATTGTCCTCTCTGAGCTAGAGATTGGACGGGAATACTTCAGCAGCTGGCACTCATTCATCCTTCCTGCAGGCCAAGAAGAGGTCGCCCATTGTGGTTCTGTCTGATGGGACAAGCAGGAAGGCCTCGTTCCAGAATACTTTCAGCAGCAAAAGACCTTCCCACTTTCAATTCACAAGCAACGAGAATATTGAGAGACAAGTCTCGAATCATAGAATCCTTGAGTTGGAAGAGACCTCATGGACCATCCAGTCTAACCCAATTGTGTCAAGAAGCAGGAAAATCACATTGAAAGCACCCCTGGCAGATGGCAATCCAGCCTCTGCTTAAAAAACATCAAAAGAAGGAGCCTCCATCACACTTCCTCCGGGACAGAGAGAGTTCCACTGCTGAACAGCTCTCTCTCACAGTCAAGAAGTTCTTCCTAATGTTCTGTTGGCATTTCCTTTAATTACCGTAGTCTTAAGCCATTGCTCCATTGCATCCTAGTCTCCAGGGAAGCAGAAAACAGCCTGCTCCCTCCTCCCTATGACTCCCCCTCACCTCTTGATCCCTGGCCCTCATCATGTCTCCTCTCCGCCTTCTCTTCTGAAAGCTAAACATGCCCAGCTCTTTAAGCCACTCGTCATAGGGCTTGTTCTCCAGACCCTTGATCCTTTGAGTCTCCCTATTCTGGATACATTCCAGTTTAGAGTCAACACATAAAAGGATGATCCACAGACATAACATTACATCCTCCACTTACACCTCATCAGGCCTACGCAGCCATTACCAAAAGAAGAGACACATTCTTAAGTTGTAATTGTCACCTTTATAAAAATTGCAAGCCAAGCTTGGGGACAGGCATGGGGAACAATCTGCTTCCCAAAGCCAATAGCTGGCACCAGACATATCCAACATGGCCAACAGAAGGACGATGGAAGTACCAAGCCATTGGAAGTACCACTGAAGCAACAGTGAAGGCTCGTCTAATTAGATTACGATGCCACTATTAGACTACATTTCTGGGACTCACCACCAAGTCCCCAAGAAAGGTTTTCTCTAGAGACAAGCTATCTGGTTATATCTACCCCTGCATAACTTTCTTTTATAATAACTACACTGCAGAACAACCTATAGTTTATTTTATTTAATAGAGCACCCATTTCACAAAAAGCCAAAACTCCAATGAAAGCTAATCCACATTAAAGCTGCTTGAATGGGACTAAACATTTCCTTCTTGTAGCACGAAGCCACTCAGCTTTACCACAGAAAACCCATTATCAAACATCTAATAATTAACCGTTATGAGATGGACACCAAGGTTTGAAATAGGTTACTAATATGACATGAAAAGTATAGAAATCTCCTAAAGCAATGGCCCAAAAGACTAGGTATCCACACTTAACTGAAAATGAACTGGATAAACTCTGAATATCTCTTTAGAGACCATAAGTAACTTCTAGCATCCTGACCCATTTAGTTTAATATAATATTGCTTGCCCCCTATATCTGACATAAGACATTACTTACGATATTCTTCCAAATGGCGCAAAAGCTGCTTTTATATCTTCAGTTGTAATTTCGGGGCTGAGGTCTCCAACAAAGACATGGAAGTGGTCTTATCGAGAAAAAGAAAGAAATATAGAAGTTTGCAGAGTACACATGGAAATTCAGGGTACTTTCTTTTTAAACAATTCCCATACATCTGGAAACTACTCGAGAACTAGAATCCTTTTACCTATCAAACATCAAGATATATAATTGCTTAATATATAACCTTCATCAGATACAAGAGTACAAAAATGCAATTAGTTACAGGTAACTAGCATTTACTTTGATATTAAATTATTTGTCGAGATTCATAATGGTAATTATTTCAGTGAGAACTATATTCACTTAATTCAAAGCCAAAAAAATTACATTACAGTTTATTTTTAAAATGCTAGTATATTTATATACGATACATACATTTAACAAACTGAGCTAAATGTCTACTGGTTCCATGAACAAAACAGAGTAAGGCTTACACAAACCAGTATGGATAACTTAAGTTACAAACAGCTCAATCTTAAGTCATATGTTGTGAAGAACAGTCAAAAAGATACCTTGCATTGCAACAGTTTGATGTTAAAGCATTTGACAGTTTTCTGAAAAGCCAAAAGGATTTTGGTTGCCCAGCCTTTACACCATGTGAATCCATGTGAATTCAAAGTATGTGAAATCCATGAGCAAGTGAACTAAGACTGGAGGCAACAGAACGGAAACAGTAATCCCTTCATCATTTATGTTAGAACCATTTACATAAGATGCTGATAACAAAGATGTCATATCTAAGGTTTTCTTCATAGCCACATAAAGCTCAATTTCAATTATCACAATCTCTCTAATGGCTTCAACGCACACAGGACACTTTACAACAACGCCTTGGGAAGAGTCTGGTTAAATCCTCCCCCCGAAGTTTTGAAAGCTCTAAGGCCAAACAAATAAAGGAGCCAAACGCTGGGCTGCCCAGAGCAGAGCGGGGAAAGGGGTCAGTTGGGAGAACAACTGACAACCACAATGAACTTCTATGGTGCCTCATTAAGACAGCAGCCTTGAAGGAAGCTAGCAGCCTTGCCCTCACCAAGAGGGAAAGACCTCCTACAGCCAAAAGAAGCTCAATGGGGGGTTTAAGGGGCTTAAGAGTCAGCAACAAGTCCACATCCTGATCCATTTGAGAGGAGGGAGAAATCTGGTGGCAATAGGACAACCCCCCCAAATAGCTCCAGGCGGTTAGTGACTACCCCTGAGAGATTTCATTTTATGTTTAAGAAGATACAATTACCTTGTGAACGCAGTGTGTTGACAACGGTACTACCTGATGACAAAGATTAGATTTGTTCTTAAGTTTATTAACACAAACACATTAAATAATATCTTAGGATAATGATCAAAACAATAGGGTAAATATTTGCATGATGCTTTATTACTTAACGTTAAAAACACTTTTTGAGCAAATAAAGAGTAACTACAAAGAATCATGAGGGACTTACTGCTGGTATCTTTCTTCTGGCTGCTGGGGGTTGTGGCCCAGTTCACTTTGACCTCCTAGAAATGACATTTACTAAAATTATATTTCTGCAAATTATAACAGAAGTTTATGTAGCCCATAGTCCCTCAGGAACAATCTAACTTGATGCACCGGACTGTATCCAATGCTGGGTAACTTTTCATGGAGCTACTGGATCCAGTGCAAACAGGAGCAAGGCATTTTAAAATATAGCTTTCTCATATTTGATGAATAACTGACTTTTTTGATTGTTACCAATGATATTAATCAAGTTACTGGAATTACACAAACTGAAGTAATCTAAGAGGGCACTTTATGGTTTACTGCTTTGCCAAAGCACTTCATTTTAAATTATGTGAAAATTAAGATAGTAGATTACATGGTTTAGAGTAAAACATTTGTTTACTTCTAAGTTCAAGGTTCAGTGACAGTAAAGGATTGAAACAGGGTAGTATTTTACCTTTGAAGTTTCTTCTTTTTATTAAAAAAAAGGCTGTTCAACTTAAACCTAAGTCCACACTTCTGTTCCACCTCGTCCTTTAGCACCAAGTACTTACCTTACCCATTATCTTCCTCCCATTCATGGCCGCTAAAGCTGCGGCTGCATGTCGATGCTCATAGAACTCCACAAAACAATACGGGTCATTGCCAGCTGTCTGTGTGAACAGGACACAGGTTGTCAGGAAGCCACTACTTAGCCTTTCCAGCTCTGTGTCACTCTTGGTTTATAAATATTCTTTGACAAGTGACCAATTCTAGGCTTAGTTACTCTCTTTTGCTGCTAAGGACTAGCAAGGAGAAACTCCTAAAACATGGACTCTAGTTCAAATCAAATCAATTCAAAATGATGAGTAAATTTCAGACCTCTAAATGACTAGTAATTTAAGACAATACTTAAAATTCAAAAATACATTATATTATCATTATTCCCATATTTATTTTTATTACATATAGAGATGTGATATCCCATGGACTTCAACAGGGCTTGCCCTGAGCAGACAAGTATCAGATTGAGCTGTACAGTTTCTATTTTCTACTTTTCCTAAGCTCCTATTACCTGTAACTAACTCTTGAGCTGAATTTGTTTCATCTCAATATCACAAAGTTTTTTAAAAACAGGATAAACCATGAAACAAAGTGAACATTCCAAACCTTGTTAAAATAGCAATATTCTAATATACTTTACTTCCAGGCTACCCCAATAAACTTGCAAAGGCAATGCATAAGTAAACTTACATCCATTATCATTTTGCAGTTCTTGCATGGTCCAATCTGGCTGAACAGCTGGAGAATTAGGGCTTCGGTGACATCTCTTGACAGATTTCCCACATAACTGCAAAATTTACATAGGTTTTAGACACGTTCGAATTCCAGCCTGACTTCCTTAATAAGAGGGGAAAGCAATCAAATTTGTGTGAAAATAACTTTCTAAAATAAATGACAAGATGTTCAGAAGACAAGACAGGAGGAGACCAAATACTGTGCTGACCCATGGCATGAAAATGCGTATCAGAGGAACTGAGCATTTCTCACCATTAATACACTTAGCATATTTGATTCCAGACACTCTCCAAAGCTTCCTCATCTTTAAAAGCCCAGATTCCTGAGTCCACATAATCTGAGAATAGTTTCACACACCCAATGTTTCTAATAATTAAAAACTGCCAATGAAATCTTTTGGAAGATTATATTGCATAAAAGCAGTCTCCTGCCATGCATTGTCGTGGTCTAGTCTGTGTATATGTGTTTTGTGTATTTGTGTGTGTGTGTGTATATATATGTGTGTGTGTGTGTGTATATATGCGTGTTTGCATATATATGTGTGTGTGGTTTTGCTCATGCATTGTAATGTATTTTTTTTGCTTTTAAAGTCTCTTCTGCTGTGTTTTTCAGTGTTCTTATGAATGATGGTCACTGGTTGGCCTGATACGTGTATTGTGTCCAAATTTGGTGTCAATTCGTCCAGTGGTTTTTGAGTTATGTTAATCCCACAACTGAACATTACATTTTTATTTATATAGATGATGATGATGAAGAGCAGTTTTGATTCTGCTATGACAACTATTTTCAGTCATCAATATGGCTATTTGCATACAATCACCACAGGATGAGGAGATTTAAAACAAAGGGCGCGTTTTCTGCCTTCCTGTTCTAAAAGAAAGTGTGGAACACAATCAACACATTTCACAACTAAACATAATCATTAAAAGGGGGAAAGGGAAGGAAACAAAGTAATTCCTAAACATACAAGAACAGGTGTTTCTATGTGGCATGCCATGTATCAATTATTCTTAACCAATACTCAAAGGTTGCTTCTCTTACATTTCGGTGATGCAAATATAACTAGCCAGGGTAATGAAATATATTTATTTTGAAATAGATTACATAGATGATTTCCTCCTATTCATTCCAAAAGGCAGTGTCATCCCTGATAAATACATGCAAAGAAAAAGGCATATTTTTCCTCTCACATTTTTCCTCCCGCCCCCCCCTCGAAATGGGACCCAAGCACTACTGCAACTATTAAACTAAGCCTCTTGCAGAGGAAGAATAACAGACACCCTTCAGGGGGGAGGCAAACAAGAACTGTGGGGCCAAAGGAGTCTCCCAGAGCTGTTATGCAAAAGCCTCCTTAAAACATCCTTTGTGGACTGGAAAGTGACAAGAGGGAATTTCAGAGGAAAATGAATTACCCCTAGGTCCCCCTTTGCACATGTCCCCAAACCCTGAAAGATGAATGGCAATGAAGATAATGATGAATATTCCTAGTGTATAACTCCTTTGCTATGTATGTATATTAACAAATCTCAAAAGCAACTGTGCTGAAAAAAACAAAAGATTAGAATTAAACACATCATGTTGGTGTAGATCAAAAATAGAGCTGTAACTTTACTCAATCCTTTTTGGCATATTGATCAAGTTAACATGATATTGAAGTAATGGGGAATATATACATCTAGCTTTATATCTTTGTTCTATGTGTTTTGGTGTAAGTATTTTATACTGGTGTTTTGATATATGTATTTCATTGTAGGTATTTCATGTTGAGATGTTCTGACTGTTGTATGCTGCCTCGAGCCATTATGACGGGCAGATAACAAATACAAATATTATTATGATAATAAATGTGAGAGGAAGTTGAAGTGGCTTTAAAAGCTTTCTACAACATAACAGGCAAACGTGGTATCAGGGGGAAAAAGAGATAACACATTGCCAACAGCCTGCTTAGGTAATTCAGGCAGGCTTCACCCTTGACCTTGCCTGGTAGTTCCTATGAAAAGTGGCTGAAGGAGATGGGGATGTTTAGCTTGGAGAAAAGAAGACTAATAGGGTATGAAAGTCATGTCCAAACAGAATTATATCCCATTGAGGACAAGCTTGTTTCCTACTGCTCCAGAGACTGAGACACAACAGAGCAGTGGATTCAAATTGCAGAAGAGATTCCACCGAAATGTTAGGAAGAACATCCTGAAAGTAAGAGCCATTCAACAGTGGAGTATGTGGCCTGGAAGTCCAACAGAGCCCCCTTCTCAGGACATCTTTACACAGAAGCTGGATGGCCACCTGTCAGGAGGGTTTAATTTGTATTTCCTGCTTCTCAGAAGGAGCTGGACTGTATGGCCTTTGGGGTCTCTCTATTCCAACTCGCTGATTCTATGACTTTTGAATCAAAGCAAGTCAAAGCATTTGGATCCCATTCAGTCTTTGGGGGAGGAAGCTTTCCCTGGTTGCCCAGCAACACTCCATTAAGGTCTTCTGAGGCAAAGACGTATTATTAAAAACATTTCTATACAGCTCCAGCAGAGAGAACCTCAGTTAAAAGCAATGGATACTGAAGAAAAAGAGAAAACACATTGGAATAAATATGTCCACATTCCTTCTGAAGGACAGACAGCGAAGATGAGGACAGATGGGATCCAAAAATGTGGGGCCACCACAGAAAAGAGCTGATGCATCACTGGTAAACCTGACTGGAGTGGGAACACAATGGGAATTTGAGGGGAAACAATGGGCTTTTTTGTGGAAATAGGAGGAGAAGGGGGTCATTATAAGAGTTTTAAGGAGAATATGACAGGGTTTTGAAAGGAATCTGAGAATATGAGGGGAACACAACAGAAATGGGGGCATAAAGGGATTATTGTGGGGGTCATGAGAGGAATATGATGAGGTTTGGGGGATATTTGAGAGGAATATGAAGGGAATATGAGGTAAATATGAGGGGGTTTGAGAGGAATTTGTGGAACATGAAGGGGACCTCAGAAACTATGAGAGGATTTTGAGGGTCAATGAAGGGAATGCAAAAGAAATCAGGGAACAGGCAAGTTATTATGGCAGTTGTGAGGGGAATATAATGGGGTTTGGAGGGGGAATATGAGGGGAAATGAGAGTATGAGCATTTGAGAGAAGCAAGAAAGAATGTGAGGGGATTTTGAGGGAACAGGGAGGAATTTCGGGGGGAAATGTAATTTTTGAGGGAATATGATGTTAGAGGGAAGTCTGCAAACTAGACAAAGAGAAAGGGGATCTTTATGAGGGTAATGTGGTGGGCTTTTGAGGGGAATCTGAGGGGATTGGGGGATCTGATGGAATTTGAGGTGATATGGGGGTCTTGAGAGGTATCTAAGGCGAAAAGGGGGTTATTGTGAGGGGAATTTCAGAGTAACATAAAATAAAGGCTTTTGAGGTGAATGTGAAGGAATATGTCAGGTTGTTGCGGGGATATGGGGTCCTGAGAGGTATCAATAATAATAATAATAATAATAATAATAATAATAAAACTTTATTTATATACCGCTCTATCTCCCACGAGGGGACTCAGAGCAGTTCCCAGGTAACATCACAAAACATACAAAGTAAAAAACATGACCATAAGATTAACAAAACAAAATATAAGCATAAAAATTGTCGCTATAATCTAGGGAGAAAGGGGGATATTTTGAAGGTAATTTCAGAGGAATGTGGCTGGATTTTTTTGGGGGGGGGGAATTTTGGAAGGATCTTACATATTGGTTTTTGAGGGGAATGTGAAGGGGTATGGTGGGCAATTTGGGGGGATTTTGAGGGAATATGGCAGTCTTTTGATGGGATATGAGGTTCCCGAGAGGTATCTGGGGAGAAAGGTTATTATGAGGGGAATTTCAGAGGAATATGGCTGGACTTTGGGAGGAAATTTGAAAGGATCTTACATATGGGCTTTTGAGGGGAATGTGATGGGATATGATGGGCAATTGAGGAGAATATGAGGGAGTTTGGGGGGATTTTGAGGGAATATGGTGGGGTTTTGAGGCGATATGAGGGCCCTGAGAGGTATCTGGGGAGAAAGGTGGTTATTATGAGGGGAATTTTGGAGGAATATGGCTGGATTTTGGGGGTAAACTTGGAAGGATATTACATATGGGCTTTTGTGGGGGATGTGATGGAATATGGTGGGCAACTGAGGAGAATATGAGGGAGTTTGGGGGAATTATGAGGGAATATGGCGGGCTTTTTAGGAGATATGAGGGTCCTGAGAGGTATCTGGGGAGAAAGGAGATTATTATGAGGGGAATTTCAGAGGAATATGGCTGGATTTTGGAGGGAAATTTGAAAGGATATTCCATATGGGCTTTTGAGGGGAATGTGATGGGATATGATGAGCAATTGAGGAGAATATGAGGGAGTTTGGTGGGCTTTTGAGACGATATGAGAGCCGAGAGGTATCTGGGGAGAAAAGAGATTATTATGAGGTTAATTTCAGAGGAATATGATTTGATTTTGGGGGGAAATTTGGAAGGATATTCCATATGGGCTTTTGTGGGGAATGTGATGGAATATGGTGGGCAACTGAGGAGACTATGAGGGAGTTTGGGGGGATTTTGAGGGAATATGACGGGCTTTTTAGAAGATATGTGGGTCCTGAGAGGTATCTGGGGAGAAAGGTCATTATTATTAGGGGAATTTCAGAGGAATATGGCTGGATTTTGGGGGGAAATTTGCAAGGATATTCCATATGGGCTTTTGAGGGGAATGTGATGGAATATGGTGGGCAATTGAGGAGAATATGAGGGAATCTGGGGGGATTGTGAGGGAATATGGTGGGCTTTTGAGGGGATATGAGGGCCCTGGGGAGAAAGGGGGTTATTATGAGGGGAATTTCAGAGGAATATGGCTGGATTTTGGGGGAAAATTTGGAAGAATATTCCATATGAGCTTTTGAGGGGAATGTGATGGGATATGGTGGGCAATTGAGGAGGATGTGAGGGAGTTTGGGGGGATTCTGAGGGAATATGGTAGGCTTTTGAGGCGATATGAGGGTCCTGAGAGGTATCTGGGGAGAAAGGGGGTTATTATGAGGGAAATTTCAGAGGAATATGACTCGATTTTGGGGAGAAATTTGGAAGGATATTCCATATGGGCTTTTGAGGGGGATATGAGGGGACTTGTGGGGATTTTGAGGGAATATGGCAGACTTTTAAGGAGATATGAGGGTCCTGAGAGGTATCTGGGGAGAAAGGAGATTAGTATGAGGTTAATTTCTGATGAATATGATTCGATTTGGGGGGGGGGGGATTTGGAAGGATATTCCATATGGGCTTTTGAGGGGAATGTGATGGAATATGGTGGGCAACTTAGGACAATATGAGGGAGATTGGGGGGATTTTGAGGGAATATGGCGGGCTTTTGAGGCGATATGAGGGCCCTGAGAGGTATCTGGGGAGAAAGGAGGTTATTGTGAAGGGAATTTCAGAGGAATATGGCTGGATTTTGGGGGGAATTTTAGAATATTCCATATGGGCTTTTGAAGGGAATGTGAAGGGATATGGTGGGCAATTGAGGAGAATATGAGGGAGTTTGGGGGAATTTTGAGGGAATATTGTGGGTTTTTGAGGCGATATGAGGGCCCTGAGAGGTATCTGGGGAGAAAGGTGGTTATTATGAGAGGAATTTCAGAGCAATATGGCTGGATTTTGGGGGGAATTTTAGAAGAATATTCCATATGGGCTTTTGAGGGGGATGTGAGGGAGTTTGGGGGGATTTTGAGGGAATGTGGCGGGCTTTTGATGGGATATGGGGGACCTGAGAGGTATCTAAGGAAAAAGGGGGCTATTATGAGGGGCTTTGGGGGGAATTTCAGAGGAAGATGAAAAGAGGGGCTTTTGAGTGGAACCTGGGGGGGGCCTGGCCTGGTTCTGAGGGGCGGGACTCACAGGGTTTTGGGCATTTCGTCCTCCATGGTGAGGCGAGGCGAGGGCAATGGCGGGCCGCGTCCTCCCTCCCTTCCTCCGTCCGCCCGATCCGGGAGGCCTTCCTCCCTCGGGCCTCCTTCCTTCCTGCCTTCCTGCCTTCCTTCGCTGCCTTCCTTCCCCCGGGCGCCTTCCTTTTCCTCCTCCTCTTCCTCTCCTTCTTCCCCGCTCGCTCTTCCCAAGATGGCGCTGGCGGGCAGAAAGGCCCCGGGCCGGCCGACGGAGAGGAAGGCCAAGGCGCATGCGCGGCGGCGGCAGCGTCGCGCGGGCGCCCGCCGCCCCGGACTGCGCATGCGCCTCGCGCGCCGAACCCGCCAATCAGAAACCGCTCCATAAAAATATCAAGAGGAAAGCCTCTCCTCGCGGGACTTCCAATTCTGCGCATGCGTGCAAGAGAGAACTAGCTCTTGGGCATTTTATTTTATTTTTTCGAGATATATATTTTGGTGTGGAATAATAATATCACAAACGAGCGCCTCCCCCATAATAATAAATAAAAAAATTAAATAAACAATAAGTAAAATAAAAAGCTTGTGCGCCGCCCGGGAATCGAACCCGGGTCGCAAGAATGGGAATCTTGCATGATACCACTACACCAGCGGCGCAGGCGTGGAACTCAGCCCAAAAACAGCTCCAAGAAGGATACCCCAAACCAGCCTCTAGATCAGGCATGGGCAAACCACTGACCACCTGCTGCAATGCACCCTGAGCCCTGCCACATGCACAATGGAGGACCCTCTTGCAGCAACACCAGAGGCACTCCAAGTGGCCAGATACTGGTCAAAGGACATTTAATCAACTACCAAGATTGCACACTTTGTGTTTCGTTTGTTTGTTATAAAAATGCAATGCAACTGTTTGGTCTACTCCTGATCCAATAAATAAATAAATATGGGCAAATTTCTGGTGGAATATGGCTTGTTGTGGAGACATGGCTTGGGGATCAAACTCCATTGGAGACCCCTTTCCCCATTATTATGCTACTACCAACTTTAGAGGGAGAAAATGTGGAGGCCGTGACAGACTTTGTATTTCTAGGTGCAAAGATTACTGCAGATGCAGACTGTGGCCAGGAAATCAGAAGACGCTTCCTTCTTGGGAGGAGAGCAATGTCCAATCTCGATAAAATAGTAAAGAGTAGAGACATCAGACTGGCAACAAAGATCTGCCTAGTCAAAGCCATGGTATTCCCTGTAGTAACCTACGGATGTGAGAGCTGGACCTTAGGGAAGGCTGAGCGAAGGAAGATCGATGCTTTTGAACTGTGGTGTTGGAGAAAGTTCTGAGAGTGCCTTGGACCGCGAAAAGATCCAACCAGTCCATACTTCAGGAAACAAGCCCGACTGCTCATTGGAGAGAAGGATACTAGAGACAAAGTTGAAGTACTTTGGCCACATCATGAGGAGACAGGAAAGCTTAGATGCTGGGAAAAATGGAAGGAAAAAGGAAGAGGGGCCGACCAAGGACATGATGGATGGGATTCTTGAAGTGACTGGGTTGGCCCTGAAGGAGCTGGGGGAGGTGACGGCTGACAGGGCACTTTGGCGTTGGATGGTCCATGAGATCACGAAGAGTCAGAAGAGACTGAACAAGTGAACAACAACAACAATCTTGTGCTTAATCATGGTATATTATTTTGGGCTTGGTCTTATGATAGCCACCCCGAGTTCTCTTTGGGGAGATGGTGGCGGTTATAAATAAAGATTATTATTATTATTATTATTATTATTATTATTATTATTATTATTTGAAACACAACAAGATGAGTCCACAGCAAACACTCTGCTGGCTGTTGAATTGGATCACACGTCAGACACTTCCCAAGTGTCTACGACTGTGTGATGTATTAGCGAATAATGCGTGCAGATCCCAGTAAGGTGGCCTTTTGCAGCTGGCAGATGGTAATTTTGTCAGCGCCGATTGTGTTTAAGTGCAGGCCAAGGTCTTTAGACACTGCACCCAGTGTGCCGATCGCCACTGGGACCACCTTGACTGGCTTGTGCCCGAGTCTTTGCAGTTTGATCTTTAAATCCTCATATCATGTCAGCTTTTCCAGTTGCTTCTCTTCAATCCTGCTTTCACCTGAGATTGGGACATCGACAATCCATACTTTGTTTTTTAACATGATTGTGAGGTCAGGAGTATTGTGCTCCAGAATTCTGTGTCTGAATTTGGAAGTTCCAGAGTGCTTGACGTGTTCATTCTCTGTAACTTTTTCCGGCTTGTGATCCCATCGCAGGTATTTGTGGCACAAGTTCCAATGGATCATCTGAGCAATGGTGTTATGCCTCTGCTTGTAGTCTGTCTGCCTGATCTTCTTGCAACAGCTGAGGATGTGATCTATTGTTTCATCTGCTTCTTTGCAGAGTCTACATTTGGGATCTGTGGTTGACTTTTCAGTTCTGTCTTTGATGGCATTGGTTCGAACGGCTTGTTCTTGGGCTGCCAGAATCAGGCCCTCCTTTGTCTACTTTTTCAGTGTTCTATTTGTGAGCCACAGCCATGATGATGATGATTTATTTATTTGTCGTGTCAGGGCAACCAGTCAATTGTATTACATTTCTAACAGAACAAAACAAACAAACAAACAGACAAAACACAAAATGTGCAAGTTTGGTAGTTGATTAAATGTCCTTTGAATAATGATGATAATTATTATTATTGTATTGTCGAAGGCTTTCCCGAACAAGCCATGAGAATAAAGATGAAGATCCACCCAGAGGAAAAGTGTTCTTGCCATACATCAAGGGAACCACCGATAAGGAAACACAGCATACAAACTATCTACAGATCCACCAAGAAAATCCAACAAATGCTACATTCAGCAAAGGACAAGAGGGATCTTCTCACTTCTGCAGGAGTCTACCGTGTACCATGCAGCTGTGGACAAGTCTACATAGGGACCACCAAATGCAGCATTGCCCAGACACGAATCGGGGAACATGAAAGGCACTGCAGACTACTTCAACCAGAGAAGTCAGCCATAGCAGAGCACCTGATGAACCAACCTGGACACAGAATATTATTTGAGAACACAGAAATGCTGGACCACACTAACAACCACCATGTCAGACTACACAGAGAAGCCATTGAAATCCACAAGCATGTGGACAATTTCAACAGAAAGGAGGAAACCATGAAAATGAACAAAATCTGGCTACCAGTATTAAAAAACTCTAAAATTGCAACAGCACAACAGAGAGGAAGCAGGCAGGGACATCTAATTACCTCTCAACAAAAGTTTGCTCCAGGCACAGTCAGGCCATTGTATGCTAATCAAGGTGGTCAGTTGAAACATTCACACCTAGCTCCAGCAGACAAAGAGTCCTTTGTCTCACCCTGGTCATTCCACAGATATATAAACCCATTTTCCTAGTTCCAACAGACCTCACTACCTCACAACAGACCCCTGCTCTAGACCATGGCCATACAGCCAGGGGCGGCTCATCCATTACGCGAAGTAAGCGGTTGCAGAACACTTTTTTTTCCAGGGGCGCAGAGGTGCCTCTGTAAATGCCCCTCCGCCACTTGAGGAGCGCCCCCTCAGCTCACAACAGCCCTAGCAGTCCGGGGGGAGCCTCGGCTTTCTTGCCTCGCTGCCGGGCGATCCTCTTCCCAAAGGGGCCGGGCCCTTGAGCCTCGCCTAGCCCCTCTCGTTCCTGCTCCACCCGGCCACCGGGTGCGCGAGCAGAGCCGGCGCTCAATCGTTCTCCACGTTCGATCCCTTCCCCATGACCGGCTCCCTTTCCCGATCCCCCGGCGCTCCACCCGCCTCCTCTCCTCTCCCCAATCCGCGGGTGGGCCAAGGGGCGGAGCCGCCACGCCTGGCCCGCTTTGGGTCCAGAGGCGTGTCTGAAGACCCCAGCGTGCGCACCAAAAGTCGCCTCTTCTCCTGACTTTCTCTTCAGCCATTGGGACCAAGAGAGAGAGAGAGAGAGAGAGAGAGAGAGCCCCTCCGGCTGGAGGTATCTCCCACCTCTGCTCCCTCCTTTGTTTTTGCGCCTACCTTCAGGAAAGGTGGGCATCTCCACCTCTGTCTCTCTCTCTCTTGGTCCCAATGGCTGAGGAGAAAGTCAGGAGAAGAGGTGACTTTTGGTGCACACGCCGGGGTCTTCAGGCACGCCTCCGGACCCAAAGTGGGCCAGGCAAGGGAGCAAATGCGGCAAGTGTAGTTACTGGGATGTATAGTTCACCTACAATCAAAGAGCATTCTGAACTCCACCAATGATGGAATTGAACCAAATATGGCACACAGAACTCCCACGACAAACAGAAAATATATATCAATGATTGGTTTGGGGGGGGGGGGGCGCCAAAATACTGTTTGCTTACCGTTGAAAATTACCTAGGGCTGTCTCAGCATACAGCCCGAAAAAATCCTTCAACAACCCAGTGATTCCGGCCATGAAAGCCTTCGATATATTATTATTATTATTATTATTATTATTATTATTATTATTATTATTATGTGTGGGTCACATTATTGCTTTGCTTGGCTATCGGAAGATCTGTGCATGATGAATTGTGGAAACAGAGTGTCGACTTCTTCCGTGACAGCTTCAGAAAACTTGTTCATCATTGGCAGAAATGTAGCCAATTGTCTGGTGATTCTGTGAAAAACTGAATAGTGGTAGGTTCTTGTGGGTTTTTTCGGGCTATAGGGCCATGTTCTAGAGGCATTTTTCCTGACGTTTCGCCTGCATCTATGGGGCAAGCATCCTCAGAATTAGTGAGGTCTGTTGGAAAGAGGACAATGGGTTTATATATCTGTGGAATGGCTGGGGTGGGGCAAAGAGCTCTTCTCTGCTGGAGCTAGGTGTGAATGTTTCAGCTGACCACCTTCATTAGCATTTGAAGGCCTGGCTGAGCCTGGGGAAATGTTTAGTTGAGAGGTGATTAGATGTCCCTGCTTGTTTCCTCTCTGTTGTTTTGCTGTTGTAAATTTAGAGTTTTTTAATACTGGTAGCCAGATTTTGTTCATTTTCATGGTCCTCCTTTCTGTTGAAATTGTCCACATGCTTGTGGATTTCAATGGCTTCTCTGTGTAGTCTGACATGAAAGGCACTGCAGACTACTTCAACCAGAGAAGTCAGCCATAGCAGAGCACCTGATGAACCAGCCTGGACACAGCATATTATTTGAGAACACAGAAATGCTGGACCACACCACCAACCACCATGTCAGACTACACAGAGAAGCCATTGAAATCCACAAGCATGTGGACAACAACCAGGCACATCTGTGATGGTCTGGATGAGGGCGAACAAATTGAAATTGAATCCAGACAAGACATAGGTACTCCTGGTTAGTCGCAACGCCGAACAGGGCATAGGGTTACAGCCTGTGTTGGATGGGGCCGCACTCCCCCTGAAGACGCAGGTTCGCAGCTTGGGTGTGATCCTGGACTCATCGCTGAGCCTGGAACCCCAGGTTTCGGCGGTGACCAGGGGAGCATTTGCACAGCTAAAGCTTGTGCGCCAGCTGCGCCCGTACCTTGGGAAGTCTGACTTGGCCACGGTAGTCCACGCTCTGGTTACATCCCGTTTAGACTACTGCAACACTCTCTATGTGGGGTTGCCTTTGAAGACAGCTCGGAAGCTCCAACTAGTCCAACGCTCGGCAGCCATGATTTTAACAGGAGCGGAGCGCAGGGAGCATACAACCCCCCTGTTGCGCCAACTCCACTGGCTACCGATCTGCTACCGGGCTGAATTCAAAGTGCTGGCGTTGGCCTTTAAAGCCCTAAACGCGGTGGAAAGAGTGACAGAGTTGGACAACTCCCACAATTCCTTGAGGCTTGGCATTCGCCCCAAAGGCTTACCTTGGCCCAATGCCGAGCCTCAAGGAATTGTGGGAGTTGAAGTCCACCACAGCTGGAGGGCCAAAGGTTCCCTACCCCTGCTCTAAAAAACGGTTCCGGCCCAAGCTACCTATCTGACCGCATCTCTGCCTATGAACCCACCAGGACTTTGAGATCTTCCGTGGAGACCCTGCTCTCGATCCCGCCTGCTTCTCAAGCTCGGCTGGCGGGGATGAGAGATAGGGCCTTCTCGGTGGTGGCTCCTCGGCTGTGGAACGCCCTTCCTACGGACATTAGACTAGCACCATCTCTAATGGTATTCCGCAAAAAAGTGAAGACCTGGCTGTTTGAGCAGGCGTTCCAATAATTAGTGCAATGATTGGTTAATGAACACTGGAATGGAACAATGGATGACGAATCTGGAACATGTTTTTGATGACGAGACGACAGTGAATGGGTTGTGTAATGTGTTAGGTTGTTAACTGTTTCTATACTGTAGCACTGAATTTTTGCTGTTCGTATTTGTTGTGAACCGCTGTGAGTCGCCTTCGGGCTGAGAACAGCGGTATATAAGTAAGGCAAATAAATAAATAAATAGTGGTAGTTAAAGAGCACATTCTAAGGATTATTTCTGCGTTTAATTTATTAAAATATCATTCAATCCTCGTATAATACCAAGTTTTTTCAACTTTGTGGTTTTAAATGCTTCTGACACGATAAACTAACTAACTCGGGGTGGCCCTGTGTTGTGCCAAACCAAGCAGACAGGCTCTCCAGGTGCCCAAAGCTCTCCAAAGGCATGTGCGTAAAGGCGCACAGTCAGGGCGCACAGCTTGGCTCCTCTCCCGGGCCTTTCCTCCACCCTTTCCCAGGACTTGGACGCCGGGAGGAGCCAGGCCAGGCCCCTCCTCGCTCCCCAGCCCCTTCTCCCCTCCCTTCTTTCCCCTTTCTCCGAGCCTTCGCCATGGTTTTGCAAGCGAGCGCTTCCCTCCTGGGCGCCTTCCTCCTCCTCTTTTCTTCCCTTCTGCTCCAAACTTCAGCCACGCAAGACCTGCGCCGCCCACCTTCCAGGATAGGTAACTTCTTTAGAGGAGAGAGAACAAATGCTAATGGGGGGGGGGGCAGTTAAAGAGGCAATTGCTTCCCCCCTCCACCACCTTCCTGTGTCCCTCTCTGCAAGGTTGTTGTTTGCTCCAAAAGTCTTTGGAGAGGGAGGTCTTTGCATCTTCTCCCCTTCCCTTCCTTTTGAAGGCTCATCAATATTGTAAGGCAGGCCTGGGCCAATTTTGGTCATCCCTCCAGTATTTTGGACGTCCACTCCCGCAATTCCTAACAACCATAGGCTGTTAATAGAATATAGGTAGGTAGTCCCCTGACATTAAGTCCAGTCATGTCTGACTCTGGGGTGTGGTGCTCATCTCCATTTCTAAGCCGAAGAGCCAGCGTTGTCCGTAGACACCTCCAAGGTCATGTGGCCGGCATGACTGCATGGAGCGCCCTTACCTTCCCGCCGGAGCGGTACCTATTGATCTACTCACATTTGCATGTTTTCGAACTGCTAGGTTGGCAGAAGCTAGGGCTGACAGCGGAAGCTCACGCCGCTCCCCGGAATCGAACCTGCGACCTTTCGAATCACAAGCTCAGCAGCTCAGTGCTTTAACCCACTGCGCTACCGGGGGCTCCATTTTATTTATATAGATGATGATGATGATTATTATTATTATTGAATCAGTGCAGATTGTTGGTACCTGGCTTTTTAAAATATTTTTAATGTTTTTAGATCAAACCGTATTATTATTCACTAGCTGTGCCCTGCTACGCCTTGCTGTGGCCTATAGTCAGAGGCGGCCCTAGGTAATTTTCAACAGTAAGCAAACAGTATTTTGGCGCAACCCCAACCAATCATTGATATATATTTTCTGTTCGTCGTGGGAGTTCTGTGTGCCATATTTGGTTAATTCCATCATTGGTGGAGTTCAGAATGCTCTTTGATTGTAGGTGAACTATACATCCCAGTAACTACACTTGCCGCACTTGCTCCCTTGCCTGGCCCGCTTTGGGTTCGGAGGCGTGCCTGAAGACCCCGGCGTGTGCACCAAAAGTCACCTCTTCTCCTGACTTTCTCCTCAGCCATTGGGACCAAGAGAGAGAGAGAGAGAGAGGTGGAGATGCCCACCTTTCCTGAAGGTAGGCGCAAAAACAAAGGAGGGAGCGGAGGTGGGAGATACCTCCAGCCGGAGGGGCTCTCTCTCTCTCTCTCTCTCTTGGTCCCAATGGCTGAAGAGAAAGTCAGGAGAAGAGGCGACTTTTGGTGCACACGCTGGGGTCTTCAGACACGCCTCCGGACCCGAAGCGGGCCAGATGCGGCGGCTCCGCCCCTTGGCCCACCCGCGGATTGGGGAGAGGAGAGGAGGCGGGTGGAGCGCCGGGGGATCGGGAAAGGGAGCCGGTCATGGGGAAGGGATCAAAATGCGGAGAACGATTGAGCGCGGGCTCTGCTTGCGCACCCTGTGGCCGGGTGGAGCAGGAATGAGAAGGGCTAGGGGGCTCAAGGGCCCGGCCCCTTTGGGAAGATACTTGCCCGGCAGCGAGGCAAGAAAGCTGAGGCTCCTCCTGGACTGCTAGGGCTGTTGTGAGCTGAGGGCGCTCCTCAAGTGGCGGTCGAGGGGCATTTACAGAGGCGCCTCTGCGCCCCTAGCAAAAAAAAGTGTTCTGCGACCGCTTACTTCGCGTAATGGACGAGCCGCCCCTGAGGGTGGGTTTCTAATATATGTAATTTCTTTATGCTTGTGGGTCAACAGTATTTCTTGCTGTTTCTTTGTCAGTGTTCTCATTACTACTCTGGAACATGCAACATATCATTGTCCTTCTTTAGGGGTCCCTTCCAGATCTGTGATACTATATCTCTGTGTGTGAATCATATCTATCTATATCTATGGCTGGATGGCCCTTTGTCAGGAGGGCTTTGATTACGTTTTCTTGCCCTGGTGAAGGTTAATCCCTTGTGCCACAGTGGGGTGAGCTCCCATCTGTCAGCTCCAGCTTCTCATGTGGGGGAAGCCTCCCATAGGATGGTAAAACATCCAGGCGTCCCCTGGGTAGTGTCCTTACAGACAGCCAATTATCTCACACCAGATGCGACTTGCAGTTTCTCAAGTTGCTCCTAACATGGAAAAAAAACCAAACTAAAAAGGTGCTACATGCAAAGCCAGACATGGGTAAACTTCAGCCCTCCAGGTGTTTTGGATGTCAACTCCCACAATTACTTTGAATAGTAGAAAACTACTAGAGGTGTAAAAGATTTATTTATTTCATATCAAAAGCATTGCATAAATTAGTATAAAACCAATAAAAATAGAAGGAGCACAGGCAGCGAAATATCCTTTGACCAAAAATGGGCAACAGCAATGGCATTGTCTGTAGCCTCCAACAACTCTTCCTCTGTACATGAGGCAGGGCATAGTGGACAAGCATACATTTACGGAGTTGTCTGTACATGAGGCAGGGCATAGTGGACAAGCATACAGATGCGGAGTTGTCTGTACATGAGGCAGGGCGTAGTGGATGAGCATACAGATACGGAGTTGGCTGTACATGAGGCAGGGCATAGTGGACGAGCATACAGATGCGGAGTTGTCTGTACATGAGGCAGGGCATAGTGGACAAGCATATAGATGCGGAGTTGACTGTACATAAGGCAGGGCATAGTGGACGAGCATACAGATACGGAGTTGTCTGTACATGAGGCAGGGCATAGTGGACAAGCATACAGATGCGGAGTTGTCTGTACATGAGGCAGGGCATAGTGGACGAGCATACAGATGCGGAGTTGTCTGTACATGAGGCAGGGCATAGTGGACGAGCATACAGATGCGGAGTTGTCTGTACATGAGGCAGGGCACAGTGGACGAGCATACAGATGCGGAGTTGGCTGTACATGAGGCAGGCATAGTGGACGAGCATACAGATGCGGAGTTGTCTGTACATGAGGCAGGGCATAGTGGACGAGCATACAGATGCGGAGTTGGCTGTACATGAGGCAGGACATAGTGGATGAGCATACAGATGCGGAGTTGTCTGTACATGAGGCAGGGCATAGTGGACGAGCATACAGATGCGGAGTTGTCTGTACATGAGGCAGGGCATAGTGGACGAGCATACAGATGCGGAGTTGGCTGTACATGAGGCAGGACATAGTGGACGAGCATACAGATGCGGAGTTGTCTGTACATGAGGCAGGGCACAGTGGACGAGCATACAGATGCGGAGTTGGCTGTACATGAGGCAGGACATAGTGGATGAGCATACAGATGCGGAGTTGGCTGTACATGAGGCAGGGCATAGTGGACAAGCATACAGATGCGGAGTTGCTGTACATGAGGCAGGGCATAGTGGACGAGCATACAGATACGGAGTTGTCTGTACATGAGGCAGGGCATAGTGGACAAGCATACAGATGCAGAGTTGTCTGTACATGAGGCAGGGCATAGTGGACACGGAGTTGTCTGTACATGAGGCAGGGCATAGTGGACAAGCATACAGATGCGGAGTTGTCTGTACATGAGGCAGGGCATAGTGGATGAGCATACAGATACGGAGTTGTCTGTACATGAGGCAGGGCATAGTGGACAAGCATACAGATGCGGAGTTGTCTGTACATGAGGCAAGGCATAGTGGACACAGAGTTGTCTGTACATGAGGCAGGGCATAGTGGACAAGCATACAGATGCGGAGTTGTCTGTACATGAGGCAGGGCATAGTGGATGAGCATACAGATGCGGAGTTGTCTGTACATGAGGCAGGGCATAGTGGACAAGCATACAGATGCGGAGTTGTCTGTACATGAGGCAGGGCATAGTGGACAAGCATACAGATGCGGAGTTGTTTGTACATGAGGCAGGGCATAATGGACAAGCATACAGATGCGGAGTTGGCTGTACATGAGGCAGGGCATAGTGGACAAGCATACAGATGCAGAGTTGTCTGTACATGAGGCAGGGCGTAGTGGATGAGCATACAGATACGGAGTTGTCAGTACATGAGGCAGGGCATAGTGGACGAGCATACAGATGCGGAGTTGTCTGTACATGAGGCAGGGCACAGTGGACGAGCATACAGATGCGGAGTTGGCTGTACATGAGGCAGGACATAGTGGACGAGCATACAGATGCGGAGTTGTCTGTACATGAGGCAGGGCACAGTGGACGAGCATACAGATGCGGAGTTGGCTGTACATGAGGCAGGACATAGTGGATGAGCATACAGATGCGGAGTTGTCTGTACATGAGGCAGGGCATAGTGGACGAGCATACAGATGCGGAGTTGTCTGTACATGAGGCAGGGCATAGTGGACGAGCATACAGATGCGGAGTTGGCTGTACATGAGGCAGGACATAGTGGATGAGCATACAGATGCGGAGTTGGCTGTACATGAGGCAGGGCATAGTGGATGAGCATACAGATACGGAGTTGGCTGTACATGAGGCAGGGCATAGTGGATGAGCATACAGATGCGGAGTTGTCTGTACATGAGGCAGGGCATAGTGGACAAGCATACAGATGCGGAGTTGTCTGTACATGAGGCAGGGCATAGTGGACAAGCATACAGATGCGGAGTTGTCTGTACATGAGGCAGGGCATAGTGGACAAGCATACAGATGCGGAGTTGTCTGTACATGAGGCAGGGCATAGTGGACACGGAGTTGTCTGTACATGAGGCAGGGCATAGTGGACAAGCATACAGATGCGGAGTTGTCTGTACATGAGGCAGGGCATAGTGGATGAGCATACAGATACGGAGTTGTCTGTACATGAGGCAGGGCATAGTGGACAAGCATACAGATGCGGAGTTGTCTGTACATGAGGCAAGGCATAGTGGACACAGAGTTGTCTGTACATGAGGCAGGGCATAGTGGACAAGCATACAGATGCGGAGTTGTCTGTACATGAGGCAGGACATAGTGGATGAGCATACAGATGCGGAGTTGTCTGTACATGAGGCAGGGCATAGTGGACAAGCATACAGATGCGGAGTTGTCTGTACATGAGGCAGGGCATAGTGGACAAGCATACAGATGCGGAGTTGTCTGTACATGAGGCAGGGCATAGTGGACAAGCATACAGATGCGGAGTTGGCTGTACATGAGGCAGGGCATAGTGGACAAGCATACAGATGCAGAGTTGTCTGTACATGAGGCAGGGCGTAGTGGATGAGCATACAGATACGGAGTTGTCAGTACATGAGGCAGGGCATAGTGGACGAGCATACAGATGCGGAGTTGTCTGTACATGAGGCAGGGCACAGTGGACGAGCATACAGATGCGGAGTTGGCTGTACATGAGGCAGGACATAGTGGACGAGCATACAGATGCGGAGTTGTCTGTACATGAGGCAGGGCACAGTGGACGAGCATACAGATGCGGAGTTGGCTGTACATGAGGCAGGACATAGTGGATGAGCATACAGATGCGGAGTTGTCTGTACATGAGGCAGGGCATAGTGGACAAGCATACAGATGCGGAGGTGTCTGTACATGAGGCAGGGCATAGTGGACAAGCATACAGATGCGGAGGTGTCTGTACATGAGGCAGGGCATAGTGGACAAGCATACAGATGCGGAGTTGTCTGTTCTGCTCCACAGTCACAAGGTGTGGGATTCTTTTAGGTAGTGCCATTTTGCCAGGTTGTCTTTTGATCTGCCCACTCCACTTCTGAGTCTGTTCAGGGACTTCCAAGTTGCCCATTCTTGGTTTGCCCCTGAAGGAAGATCCTTGTGAGGGGGCATCCAGTTGGGATTTCCTGGTCTAGCTGCCCAGAGGGATACCCTTGCTGTTGCTGGGGGATGCCAAGAGGAGTGGTAGTTCTCATAAAGCTTTTCCTTGATTTGAGTCTACTGGGAGGAGGCTGGGAGCCATGCAGTGGGTGGCTTTCACAGTGTTCAACCTTATTTCTCCCACATTTAGCAGCAACTTCCTGTCACACATTAGGGGGGGCTAGCTTATAGAGTTTATCAACAGGTGTAGGTTTAAGACATCCTGTGATTATTCTGCATGTTTCATTCAATGCTATGTTCACCTGCTTTGCATGGGCAGACTTATGCCAAACAGGCCAGGCACACTTGGCAGTTGAGTAAGACAATTCCCAATATTCCATGGCATTGAGCCATGGCAATTTAAGTGGGGCCAAGCTGCAGCCATTATCTATACAGTAGATTAGGAATCATGGATTATCTATACAGTAAATTAGGAATCATGTTTAGTTCCAAGGGGCATGTGTGTCTATTACATTGTGACATAACGTTTACTCTTTCAAAGTCCACCTGAAACAATTACCTGCAGTCCCCAAGTTAATATTCCATGGCATTGAGCCATGGCAATTTAAGTGGGGCCAAGCTGCAGCCATTATCTATACAGTAGATTAGGAATCATGGATTATCTATACAGTAAATTAGGAATCATGTTTAGTTCCAAGGGGCATGTGTGTCTATTACATTGTGACATAACGTTTACTCTTTCAAAGTCCACCTGAAACAATTACCTGCAGTCCCCAAGTTATGAACAAGATCGGCTCTGTAGGGTTGTTCTTAAGTTGAATGTTTATATAGGTCTGAATAGAGGCATTCTTTAATTGTAACTCCATCCAAATATATATGTGTGTGTGCGTTTTAGCTTTGGATCGCATAGGGAAAGGTTAACGTCCTGTTGGCCTTGCCTTTGCTGTCTGTGTCCCTGTTAAGAAGATTCCATTTCACTTTCTGTCTTGGTGAGAATGTGATTTTGGAAAATTTGGCTTGTTGTGGAAACAAGAATTTGGCGATACAGCTTCATTGGAGAAACATAGATGTGGGCAAAATGTCAGGAGAGAATGCTTCTGGAACTTGGCCAGGCAGCCCGGAAAACTCACAGCAGCCCAGTGATTGCAGCCATGGAAGCTTTCAACAATATCTTTATTTTTAACCCGCCCTCCCTCCTCAAAGAGACTCAGGGAGGCTTCCAACGGCCAAAAATGGCAAATATTCAATGCCATGTTCATATTCAATGTCATGTTCAATCTATATAAATAAAATGTAATGTTCGTTTGTGGGATTAACAGAACTCAAAAACCACTGGAATTGACACCAAATTTGGACACAAGACACCTAACAACCCAATGTATGTCCATCACTCAAAAAAAAAATTGATTTTGTCATTTGGGAGTTGTAGTTGCTGGGATTTATAGTTCACCTACAATCAAAGAGCATTCTGAACTCCACCAACAGTGGAATTGAACCAAACTTGGCAGACAGAACTCCCATAACCAACAGAAAATACTGGAAGGGTTTGGTGGGCATTGACCTTGAGTTTGGGAGTTGTAGTTCACCTACATCCAGAGAGCACTGTGGACTCAAACAATGATGGATCTGGACCAAACTCTACAAGAATATTCAATATGCCCAAATATGAACACAAATGGAGTTTGGGGGAAATAGACCTTGACATTTGGGATTTGTAGTTACTGGGATTTATAGTTCACCTACAATCAAAGAGCATTCTGAACTCCACCAATGATGGAATTGAACCAAAGTTGGCACACAGAACTCCCATGACCAACAGAAAATACTGGAATTGGTGGGCATTGACTTTGAGTTTGGAGTTGTAGTTCACCTACATCCAGAGAGCACTGTGGACTCAAACAATGATGGATCTGGACCAAACTTGCCAGGAATACTCAGTATGCCCAAATATGAACACAGATGGAGTTTGGGGGAAATAGACCTTGACATTTGGGAGTTGTAGTTACTAGGATTTATAATTCACCTACAATCAAAGAACATTCTGAACCCCACCGGCACCAACGACAGAATTGGGCCAAACTTCCCATACAGAACCCCCATGACCAACAGAAAATACTTAAGGCCATCCAGTCCAATTCTCTTCACCATGGCAAGAAAATGTAATCAGAGCTCTCCTGATGAAAAGCCATCCAATCATAAATACAGATAGATATGATTCACAGATTTGAAAGAGACCCCTAAAGAAGGACTATGATATGTTGCATATTCCAGAGTAGGCAAACCAGACACTCTCCACATCAACACTGACAAAGAAACAACAAAAAGTGCTGTTTACTCACAAGCATAAAAAAAATTACATATATTAGAAACCAACACTTTCTCATTACTTTATTTCCAGATCACTAGACTGGGCCACAGCAATGCCTGGCAGGGGACGGCTAGTGTTCAGTATTAAAAGGAATGTCAGTAGAGCTTTGAGCCTTGTTAGAGAATGTCTGTTGGAGCTAGAAGTCTTTTCGTGTGCAGATCCTAACCTACATAACCTTAAAGGACTGGAAGGAATTTGGGTTGGAATTAGAGTTGGATGAAATGCGCCATCCTTCCTAGCCAAGGCCGGCTGTGAAAGGGAATTAATACAAGGCAGCTCTATTCCAGGTAACGCTTCTCTGTGAAAGGGGATTAATGAAGGGTGACTTGTTTTCAGGGGTGATCGGAGCGGGAATCGGGGGCACTTCTGCTGCCTATTTCCTGCGCCAGAAGTTCGGCAAAGATGTCCCCATCGACGTCTTTGAGCGAGACGAGGTGGGCGGCCGCCTGGCAACCATCGACTTGGAAGGAAAAGGCTACGAAGCTGGAGGAACCGTCATCCACCCGCTCAACCTGCACATGAAGCATTTTGTTAAGGAACTGGGTAAGGCCTTTTTGTATCCTAAAGCAGGGCCGGGCTATAGCACAGCTGGTAAATCACCACCAGCAAAGCAATAAGATCTCCCTATGAACCATCTTGGTCTCTAAGATCATCTAGGGAGACCCTGCTCTCGGTCCCACCTCCTTTGCAGATGCGACTGGCGAGAATGAGAGACAGGGCCTTCTCAGTGATGGCTCCTCAGTTATAGAACGTCCTCCCTAGGGACATTTGATCGCCCCCCTCCCTTTTAACATGATGAAAGAGAGTCAAAACCTGGCTTTTTGAGCAAGCTTTTACAGATGCAGTGTAACAGGAATGATTAGACCAGGGGTCCTCAAACTAAGGCCCAAGGGCCGGATACGGCCCTCCAAGGTCATTTACCTGGCCCTTGCTCAGGGTCAACCTAAGTCTGAAACAACTTGAAAGCAAACAACAACAACAATTCTATCTCATCAGCCAAAAGCAGGCCCAAACTTTCCACTGAAATATTAATAAGTTTATATTTGTTAAAATTGTTATTTATTTTAATTATTGTATTGTTTTAAAGTGTTTTTTTTTTTTGCACTACAAATAAGATATGTGCAGTGTCCATAGGAATTCATTCATGTTTTTTTCAAATTATAATCCGGCCCTCCAACAGTTTGAGGGACTGTGACCTGGCCCTCTGTTTAAAAAGTTTGAGGACCCCTGGATTAGATGATGCGACTGGAAAATAATTTTAGTAATGAGATGTTGAGGACTTGTGTTTTACTGTTTTTATTGGCTTTATTGTTTTTATATGGTTTATATTATATGTTAATTTTTTAATTACATTTTACATTATTGGGGGCATAGAATTTTGCTGTTTGTAAACCGCCCTGAGTTGCCTCCAGGCTGAGAAAGGCAGTATATAAATATGGTAAATAAATAAATAAATAAAGGTTTCCAGTTCGAAGCCCGGGTCGGGTTGAGCACCCGACTATCAGCCCAGCTCACTGTTTAGCTAAGCAGTTTGAAAACAGCTTAGAGCTCTAAGTAGAGAAATTTGGTACCTCTAAAAAGCAGGGGACGTATTTTACGACACCATAAAAGAAATAAAACAGAAAATGCCAGAGATCAAACGGAAGGAGGAAGTCCTGATGGCTCTTTGTCATAGTGCAAAATTAGCTCCACAAGCACTGCAGGGTCTTGTGCTCCTCCGCAAACCTTCTGCTATAGCCTTTCTCGTACTGCTTTAAGGTCTTTCATGCTCGCCTTGGCTTGAGTCTCATGCGCCATTGGATCTCATGCACATTAACAAAACCCTGAAACCAACCAAGTATTTGCTGCCAATTGTGATGCACAAAAAGTGCCCATTTCGCCCAGAAAAGTGCACCTTGCAGTTGCTGCCTGCTTAGGATTCCTTTAAAAACAAAAGTGTTAGTGTTAGAGACCCTAAATTGGGTCTTCTTAGGTCCACATCACAGGAACTCAAAAGGAAGGAGACAGTCCCAAAAAAAGATAAAAAAACAAGGTTTATTTTAGTTTCTTCATGAAGAATACGGACAGCCTGACAGCATACGCAGATGCTACCCTTCAAGTGACTGCCATGTCCCCTTGGCTTTTGACCACCGATATATAACCTCAAGTAAACAAGAACATTTTTTTTGTCATGGAAAGTACTCTCTTTCTAGCCCCCTCCCTTGACTTTTTGATGGAAAGTACCTTGTACCTGCAGACTCTGCGCTTAACCACAACATTTGAACTTAACCACAACACAACTTCCGACCTCTACATGTCACATCTTGTTTCTTAAAAACATTTTCTTCCGTGTTGCTCTTTCTCTACAGAGAAAGGGTATATTTCTCGTTTGCTGTTAATTTCATTCAAAGCCCCTTGCTTAGCATTTGCAAATTTCACTCAAAGACCCTTTCATTAGGACACCAAAGCTTCCAGCAACTGAAAAGGAAACCTTTGGATGCATCTGTGTTGCAGAATGAATGCACTTTAATTGCCTTGGTTCAGTGCTATGGAGCCAGGGAGCTATTGTTTTACTAGTTCCTTATGGTGTGGTGTTGGAAGTCTTGGGTGGTGGTTACACAAGTGGGAACAGGAGGATAGTGAGACTGGGAAAATAATATTTGTACTTTTCTGAATTTTGTTGATTGGATGCTTTTTTCTACATAACACAATTGTTGTACACCAGAGCAGGAACACATCTGACCTTAAACAACACACTAGCTTGGTAAAATCAGAAAGCAGTTTATTGAAGAATATATGTAGCTAAAGCAGTATTACATAGCAAAATAGTAAAAATCCAAAATAGTCCATAAGCTTTAAAGGGAAACAAGATCCAGGAGTACATAGAAATCCATGAAACAAGGCAGTTGAAACCATGAACCAAAACAGCAGGAAAATCCCATTGGCAAAATTCAGCTTGGCAAAAACTTAGTACATGAAACTCAGAGCACTTGAAAACAAGACAGTGATAAAATAACAATGTTGCCTCAACTGAGGCAACTCACTCCCATGATTCATTATAAACCTTTTCCAGAACCCAAAACTGGAAGGAAAGCATTTTTCTTGACTTTCCCACAAGATAATGGTTTGTTATCTTTCTTTTGCTGTAGACAAAGTGATCGCTTCCATCTCTGAAAGCTCTGCCTCTGTTTACTGAAACTTTGCTTTCTGTCCAAGGTTTCACTGTCCTCTCCCTCATTAACTCCTGCACCTGGCAAATCAATCTCAGCATCATTTTCAGGCAGTTGCCCTATGAAAAGCAGTGAAAGGTTGCTCCCAGGAATGTGTCCTTGTGACTTTTCCTGAAACAGCTCAGGCTGTTTGTATTAGAATATAGAATCAAAGAGTTGGAAGAGACCTCATGGGCCATCCAGTCCAACCCCCTGCCAAGAAGCAGGAATTGCATTCAAATCACCCCTGACAGATGGCCATCCAGCCTCTGTTTAACCTCCAAAGAAGGAGCCTCCACCACACTCGGGGCAGAGAGTTCCACTGCTGAACGGCTCTCACAGTGGAAGTTTCTTCTCATGTTCAGGTGGAATCTCCTTTCCTGTAGTTTGAAGCCATTGTTTCGCGTCCTAGTCTCCAGGAAATCTGAACTTAACTAAGATCTCTTCTGAACTTAACTAAGACCCAAGTAAGCCGTCATCCCCAGGCCCATCATCAGGAACACCATCCCCATTCCCATCATGAACATCACCATGAACATCATTCCCATCATGCACATCAACATGAACATCAGACACAATCACAAGCTGAACAGGCTGACATGCAACAACAATTGGAGCGCTTCCTCTTAAATGCCAGGGGGATGCATCTCAAAAGATGATCCTGCCTCTTTTTTTGGCCATCCTTTCTAAATCAGCCCTGTTTTCTTTTCATCTTGCCAGGACTTTCTGTTGTCCAGGGTCATGGTGGGCTTTTAGGCATCTACAACGGAGATGAGTTAGTCTTTGAGGAGAGCGGTTGGACCATCTGGAACTTCCTGAAACTGCTCTGGCATTACGGGCTGAATGCTATACGGAAGTCCATGTGGGTGGAGGAGACCCTGGACAAATTTATGAGGTAATTGGTCCCTAAATTGGGAATTATGAGTGTGAGGGAAATCAATGTAAGAGTCAGGATCTCCAGAGGCTGTCTAGCTCAGTCCCCTCCTGCTCTAGGAATCCACAAGTCAAACTCCTTACTTTGTGCCTATACTGTTTATATTTAATTCTGTTTTAATGTTTGCCTTTTTGTATATTTTAAATAGTATTTTATTGCAATCTTCCAGAGCGGCCCTTCTCTCGCTCCTGCCCCCAAGTGCGACTGGTAGGGACGAGGGAGAGGGCCTTCTCTGTGGTGGCCCCTCGGCTCTGGAACTCGCTCCCCAGAGATATTAGGCAAGCCCCCACCCTGGCAATCTTCAGGAAGAGCCTGAAAACTTGGCTGTTCCAGTGTGCCTTCAATGAATGAATGAATAATAATCCCCTGACTTGACCAAACCCTGCAAAAATGCCCTCGGAAGCACTTTATTTTTACCTTCTAGTGCAGTGTTTCTCAACCTGGGGGTCGGGACCCCTGAGGGGGTCACGAAGGGGTGTCAGAGGGGTCACCAAAGACCACCAGAAAGCACAGTAGGTTCTGTGTGGGAAGTTTGACCCAATTCTATCATTGGTGGGGTTCAGAACGCTCCTTGATTGTAGGTGAACTATAAATCCCAGTACTGACAACTCCCAAATGTCAACGTCTATTTTCCTCAAACCCCATCAGTGTTCACATTTGGACATATTGAGTACCATGTGTTTGGTCCAGATCCATCATTGTTTGAGCCCACAGTGCTCTCTGGATGTAGGCGAACTACAACTCCCAAACTCAAGGTCAATACCCACCAAACCCTTCCAGTATTTTCTGTTGATCATGGGAGTTCTCTGTGCCAACTTTGGTTCAATTCCATTGTTGGTGGGGTTCAGAATGCTCTTTGTTTACATGCTAACTATAAATCCCAGCAACTACAACTCCCAAATGACAAAATCAATCCCCCCGCCAACCCCACCAGTATTCAAATTTGGGCATACCGGATATTTGTGCCAAATTTGCTCCAGTGAATGAAAATACATCCTGCAGATCATTATTTACATGGCGATTCATAATGTTAGGGTTATGGTTGGGTGTCACCACAACATGAGGAACTGTATTAAGGAGTCACGGCATTAGGAAGGTTGAGAAACACTGTTCTAGTGCAATCAACCCTACTTTGTCCTTCGGATTCCCTGTCCAGATACATTACATTGCTTTCTCACCCAGTGTTTTAAATTTTTAATTTATTGAAACCGGCCCTGCCCACTGTGATAAATTTTTGTGTTTTAAATGTTGTAATTTTATATCGCTGATATGTTATTTATGCTGGTTCTTGTATTTTATTTTATTCATATTTTACTTCTGTGTTTTGTTGTATATTGTTTTACTGTATTGCTGGGCTTGGCCTCATGTAAGCTGCCCCAAGTCCCCTTGGGGAGATGGTGGCGTGGCATAAATAAAGTTATTATTATTATTATTATTATTATTATTATTATTATTATTACTACTACTACTATTACTATTTTATGTCAAGCTGCTTTGAGTCTCCTTCGGGAGAGATAAAGCAGGGTAATAATAATAATAATAATAATAGTGTGCTATTGCTTACGTCAAGCCACTTTGAGTCTCCTTCGGGAGAGAGAAAGCAGGGTATCAATATAACATCATCATCATATCCCCTCTTTCCTTTCCTGGCCCAAGGGTCTACCGCTACCAGGCACATGACTATGCCTTCAGCTCCAACGAGGCCTTGCTCCATGCCCTTGGAGGGGCTGAGCTCATCCAGATGTGGAACCAAACCATCGAAGAGTCTATGCAGAAGGCCGGCTTTTCTCAGAAGTTCATCCACGAAATGGCAACACCCATCATGCGGTACAACTATGGGCAGGGAGTCGGCATCAACGGATTTGTGGGTAAGTGGGTTTGGCACAGCAATAGAGGTTCTGGAACGTGTGGTGGTGTAGGGGCTAAGGTTCTCCAGTGCTCCAGAACTCTGCATGAAGTCAGGAGCCCCCTTGGGCTCCTGAGGGCGGCGTAAAGAGAGGTAAAGCACAAGTTGAATTCCAACTGCAGAAGCTGTTTACTGCGGGCCAAGCAATAGGCGACAGTAGGGTGCCCACAACACAAAAGGTCTGTCGCGCCTTAAAATGAGGCTACAAGGCTTTTTATCACTTTTTCAGAAATTTAAAAGCATAGTCTCATTGGTGTACAAAGATAAATTATTTAATTGCTCTAAGCTAGCCAATACAGATTTTTTAAAAATACATTTTTATTGAAATTGTAAGATTACATGGAAAGTGGGGGAACAATATATTTGAAATAAAGAAAGAGCGAGAAAGGAAAGGAAGAGAGAATAAGAAATTAAGAGAAAAAGAAAAAATGAATAATAAAGAAAATAAAATAAGATAAAAATATTGATAAGCACAGTAATAATATTAATATTAAATAAAATCAACAAAACAAAACAAATAATAATAATAATATTTTTAAAACGTGACTTCCATCTATTATTCATAGTCTTTACCTGTTTATATTACTTTAGAATTCCCAGACTGTTGTTCAGGTATCTCAAAAAAAACCCAAAAACCCTCTCTTCTAATGTCTACTTCTTCTCTATTGTATTCTTACTTCTAATTTTAATTGTTTGAAATAATCTTTTACTAGTTCCCAGTTTGTCTGTTTCTTTGGCATCCCGTGATTGGGTGTTATCCAGTATTTTAGCCGCTCCGAGTCCCCGTTGGGGGAGATGGTAGTAGGGTATAAATAAAGTTATTTATGGGTTGTTGTAGGTTTTTCCGGGCTATATGGCCATGTTCTAGAGGCATTTCTCCTGATTCGCCTGCATCTATGGCAAGCATCCTCAGAGGTAGTGAGGTCTGTTGGAACTAGGAAAAAGGGTTTATATATCTGTGGAATGACCAGGGTGAGACAAAGGACTCTTGTCTGCTGGAGCTAGGTGTTAATGTTTCAACTGACCACCTTGATTAGCATTTGATTGCCTGGAGCAGTCTTTTGTTGAGAGGTGATTAGATGTCCTTGTTTGTTTCCTCTCTGTTGTTGTGCTGTTCTAATTTAAGTTGTTTATTATTATTATTATTGTTATTATTATTATCCTGTCCATATTCATTATTTCTAGTATCTTATTTTGCCAGCTAGCTAATACAGATTTTCATTGGTTCTTTATGATTCTAACAAGCAAGAATGCAAACAGGTGGTAGCTAACAATGGCACTTTTCATGTCTCTGGCCCTGGGCACTTAATTGGAAAGTGTTTATGAGTCGGTCTTATCTCCTTTCCTATTTCAAGCACAAACTTCAAGCAGCTGGGAAAATTAGGGAGTACTATCTCTAGCCAGTTTTACCCTGATGAATTCATCCTTGAGCGTAGTTACCTCCCTGTGGCAGCTCTTTCTCCAAAAATCAGCATTTTTGCAGACAAAGGCCTCTGCAAATCAGGACATATGGGACATACAATCATTGGAAGCATCCATGAAAATCCCATTTAAAATTATATCTCCCACATTGGCTTTGCAGCTCCAGAGTTTCCTGGATAAAAAGGATGATCTGGACACATTGCAGTCTGGTTTCAGGCCTGGCTACAGGACCAAAACGACATTGATCGCCTTGGTAGATGATCGACGTAGAGAGCTAGACGAGGAGTGTATCCCTCCTGGTTCTCTTGGACCTCTCAGCGGCTTTCAATACCATCAGTCATGGTATCTTCCTAGATTGCCTCGCAGGAATGGGACTTGGAGGCACTGTGTTGCAGTGGTTCTGGTCCTTTCTGGAGGGCCGTTCCCAGAAGGTCGTGTTGGGGGACACCTGCTCGGCCCCAAACCATTGTCCTATGGGGTCCCGCAGGGTTCAGTATTGTCCCCCATGTTGTTTAACAGCTACATGAAGCCATTGGGTGAGATGATCCAAAGTTTTGAAGTTCAATGCCGTTAGTATGCAGATGACGCCCAGCACTATTACTCATTTCCAGTGCCTGTCAGGTGTGATGGCCTGGGTGAGGAGGCACAAATTGAAATTAAATCCTATCTCTTTGCAGGGGACTGAAGGGCCTTTGCATTATGCATTTCCTATTGGCATCTGAGCAGGGTTCCTCAACCTTCTGTGGTGCAGCTGGCTGGGAGTCAGCTGCATTAAGATCACTACTGACCAAAAGGTCATGAGCCCAGGTTGGAGTGAGCTTCTGACCAATTTGTATAGCTTGCTGTCAACCTTTGCAGTTCGAATGACAGTTGCATCTGTCAAGTAGGAAATTTAGGTACCGCTTATGCGGGGAGGCTAATTTAACTAATTTACCATAAAAATCTCCAGCGAGCATGTAAAGAATGAGGAAGTACTTCAGCAGTGTCACAAATGGACGGTGAAGCAACAGCTCCCCTGGTGGCCAGAATACCCTCATGAAGAAAGCTGGAATGTTAAATAGCCTCTGCCTATATATGTTGTGTGTCTATGGCATAGACACATGTTGTGTGTCTATGGCATTGAGTCCCCTGTGGATGGGAAGGGCAGAATATAAATACAGTAAATAATAATAATAATAATAATAATAATAATAATAATAATAATAAATGTTTTACAGCTTGGGAGGGATTCTGTTTTTGTGGTTCAGAAGTGCAGGTCCATGAAAGTAAACCCAGGGTAAATCCTTTCCTTCTTTTTCTCCGACAGGCGTGGTGGCCTTCACAGGAGTCGACAAAGGACTCTGGTCTGTGGAAGGAGGCAACAAGAGAGTATGCGCCGGTCTGATCCAGGCCTCAAAAGCCCAGCTGATTCAAGGCACTGTGACTTCCGTGGAGGAAACAACACGGCCCAAAGGACGCTCAGGTGAGGTTGATGGGCCTTTCTCCTTCAGAGTCACCAGAAAGACCTCTAGCGAATTAAAAATGCTTGTATGGCCTGGATAAGCAGGGGAATTCGTGAGAACAGGGATCTGGAAGACAATGAGGACTAGAAACGTAAACAATTTGTGATGAAATTAAAATCATGCATAGTTGGCGTTTGATCAGCCCACACACTCCCTTGCCAGAGAAAGAAAAATATGCCATGCAGATGTACAGTAGAAAACAAGTACTGTAGTTTACTCTTTGTCATTGAAAACAACATATTTACAATCATGTGCATTAACTCACATAATGTCCTTTTATGAGATTTAAAATTGTCTTTCTTTATCCATATGGATAATCTCCTCCAGCAGTTCATGAAGCAAGAGCACTCTCCAAACTCTGTCTCTGTCTCCTTCTCGCTGCTTCTCTGCAAGCACGTGCATAGCTCAAGTCTGAAAAACGTAACAGTAACCAAAAGTCCCAGGCTCACACACATTGACACACATTAACTGATTTTTTACATGCTCCAACACCATTTACAGATTGACTTCAAGGCACATGGGAAGAAATGCCTATGTCTGTTGTTTTTTCCAATGGCCCTGCTGTTAAATGTCTCAGGGCCCTTCCACACAGCTGAATAAAATCCCACTTTCTCTGCTATGTACTGGGATATCTGGCAGTGTGGACTCAGATAACCCAGTTCAAAGCAGATACTGTGGGATTTTCTGCCTTGATATTCTGGGTTATATGGCTGTGTGGAAGGGCTCTAAGCCTACACTGCCAGGTAATCCAGGTTATCACAGCAGAACATTGACACTATCTGTTCTGTCACCGCTGGGCCTGTATTTGGTTGGCTTTAAATATAGGATGTGTAACCTTTGCCCAGCGGGAAGCCAGGGGCCTAAGAAGTTCTAAGAGGTTTCCACTACAAAAGAGTCTTGATATGGCTTGAAAAATACAACAAAGTCTTTTATTAATGAATCAAACAGGTACTTCAAAGCTTTCTTGATAAAGAATTAGTTTTCTCAATCTTGCCCACAGGGGACAGGCACTATCTTCAATAACTTTCTCTAAAGGAAAATTCCCCTTTTTTAACTTCTCCCAAGGCTGACTAAAATCCAACCCTCACTGGTGTGGGTTCCGCTGCCAGGCCGAACTGCTTCTCGAGCGCTGAGAGGACCTACCAGCAAGGCAATGGATGTTCTCCAGTTGGAGTTCTTTAGACCTTAAGGCTGTCTTCCTGGAAACTCTCAAGGCTGTGGAAGGCTTCCCTGGAGTTCTTAGGAGACTCTTAAAGCTGTTCTCCCCTGGAGATTCTGTTAGAGTTTCTGTGACCCTGGAATTCTTTCCCTGGAGGTTCTGTTGTAACCCTGGAAATTCTTAAAGGTTGAAGCCTTTGTACAGGGGAAGCAACACACATCCTATACATTGGCTAACCTGGCTGAAACTAAACTCAAAATGGCTCACTTCCCTACCAAAGCCCAAAAAGGGGGCGGGACTAGGGAACCTAAGGATAATTGACAAGCAATTGACCCAATAACTGCAAAATAAGGAGAGCCATCTAACTGCAAAGGCATATAACTTCAAAATACATGCAGCATCAAACAGATAGCAAGATAAGCTGGAACTCCTGGTGCGGCTGTAGCAAAACACTATCTGATTTGAACTAGGTTATCTTAGGGCCCTTCCACACAACCATATAACCCACTGTCACAACTTAAACTGTCGAATGCTTTTTCAGCATCCAAAGCTATCAAGGCTAATTCCTTTTGGTTGTAGGTTTCATAATATTCAATAATGTCCAATATGTTTCTAAAATTGTCTTTTGAATGTCTATCTGGAAGGAAACCCATTTGGTTTTCATGGACCCACTCATTCAGGAAAGTTTTTAATGTTTCTGCAGTTATGTTTGTGAAAGTATAGTCATTATTTAGAAGTGAGATTGGCCTGCAGTGTCTTACATCGGTTGGGTCTGTGTTCCCTTTATGTATCATGGTGATATTTGCCAAATTCCATGATTCAGGTGCTTTTTGTTGGTTTAAGATTTGGCTCATAATTTTCTTAAAAGATTGTGATTTCTAACAAGGTCATGCTTTTCCAAAAGGTCACACCAAATAGTGTGAATGCCAATTCATCTCCAAAAGCCTGTGGAGATTCCTGGCTTTCCCAAAAGATTATGAATGCCATTTTCCAAATGTATTTATTTACGTCATTTTTATCCCGCCCATATCAGTCCGAAGGCGACTCAGGGCGGCGTACAAGTTGGCAACAATTGGATGCCATATATAAAAATACATACATCGGCAAAAAGCAAAAAACACCACAATACATTTTAAAGCCATAAAAGCAGTAAACAATAAAAGTTATAAAAACTATGTCTTCTTGTTCAAATCCTCAACCATTCCATCGTCTTAGCCGTTCCTAGTTCATTTTCCAATTCGAGTTTATCTGGTTATGCTGAGGTTCCAAACGCTTGCTCAAAGAGCCAGGTTTTCACTCTTTTTCGAAAGGTCAGGAGGGAGGGGACCAGTCTAATATCCCTGGGCAAGGAGTTCCACAGCTGAGGGGCCACCACAGAGAAGGCCCTGTCTCTTGTCCCCATCAGACATGCTTGTGAAGCAGGCGGAATTGAGAGCAGGGCCTCCCCAGATGATCTCAAGTGCCTGGAAGGTTCATAGGGAGAGATGTGTTCGGATAGATAAGCTGGTTAGGGAGATTCACATTTTCCAAAGGCTTTATCATTTGATTTATTTTTTTCCTTTAAGGTGAGACCGTCAAGCTGTACGAAGTCACCTACGAGTCCGCCTCAGGAGTGACATCCTCTCTCTACGATATCGTCCTGATCGCGGCACCGTTGCACCGTAAAATGACCAACATCTCCTTCCGCAACTTCAAGCCGCCCATTCCCGAATTCTCCAAGCCTTATGAACACGTAGTCTCCACGTTCGTCCACGGGAACATCAACTCTTCTTTGTTTGGCTATTCGGACCCCTCCCAGTTGCAATTAAACGACATTTTCACCACGGAAAACCCCAAGGCGTTCTTCTACAGCATTAGCATAGTCCCTGCTGTTAAAGACGCAGAAGCGGGTGCAGCGCCGTCCCCACCAGTTTGGAAAATATTTTCTGCCCAGCCGTTGACCAAGAAGCAGCTGAACGTGCTCTTCTCCTCCTACGACTCAGTGGAATCAAAGGCATGGCTGGCCTACCCTCATTACAGCCCCCCCGAGCAGTGCCCGCCCCTCGTTCTCCACAACCGTATGTACTACGTCAACAGTATGGAGTGGGTGGCAAGCGCCATGGAAATGGGCGCCATCTCAGCCAAGAATGCCGCCCTCCTGGCTCACCACCGCTGGTACGAGCGGACAGAGAAGATCGATCAAGAGGATTTGCATGAGAAACTCAAGACGGAGCTTTAAAGCTTAATGGGAACTTGGACGGAAAAGACAGAAAACGTCCTAGAACAGCATTAATATTTTGAGCCAATTTTCCTGCTGCAGCAACACATTCAATTTCTAATTGGAATATGTCGTAACAAACAACTTCTTCGAAAGCACTCTAATCTTTTTCTAATACGATGCAATGCAGCCTTATTTGCAAATAATGTTTCTTCCGGATGCAGAGACAAAACTAAAATGTTTGTGCTCAAGTGCCTCTTTAGACAAAACAGTTCTTAATCCCATTAACCAACAGAAAGTATAAAGGAGCTGCAGAAAGAATTGTGAATGTGATTCACTTGAAGCTGAAGACAGTCCTCCCTGACCCTGGTTTTTAGAGACTACTAAACCAGGAGGATTTTGAAATGGAATGAAACAAACTGTGTATGCCATACTACTGATTTAAAAATTAAATATATATTTTGCGGATCTGTTGTTTACATTCAGTATTGGGTATTGTAATTATAAATACACTAGGACTCATCCTCAACGAACCCCAGTGCAAACCGTGGTTAAAAGAGCACTGAGGTTTCAAGACTAACAGGAGGGGAAAGTGAATTTAACCAGAATAGTTGCAGTGCATTGGGCTCTGGACTTCAGAATGCTGTTTATGGTGGCCACTATCTGGCAAAAAAGCCAGGAAACACTGAATGAACAACTTTCTGATATTAAAGTGGAGTAAGAAAAAGTCAGCATCATAAAAAACCCAACCTTGGTCAGTATGTAAAAGCCTGGAGGCCAGGGGCGGCTCAACCCATTACGCAAAATAAGCATTTGCAGTATAGTCGATTTTGCCCAAGGGCGCTCTTGAGGTGCTCTTGGGGGAAAATAGACCTTGACATATGCGAGTTGTAGTTACTGGGATGTATATGGCACACAGAACTCCCACGATGAACAGAAAATATATATCAGTGATTGGTTGGGGGGGGGGGGCAAAATACTGTTTGCTTACCGTTGAACATTACCTAGGGACGCCTCTGGCTATCGCCCAGCCATTTGGCAAAACCCGGCTATTCTTAATCTAGTCAACTAGACATTTCTTCATTAGATTCTTGTGGGTTTTTTCGGGCTATAGAGCCATGTTCTAGAGGCATTTCTCCTGACGTTTCGCCTGCATCTATGGCAAGCATCCTCAGAGGTAGTGAGGTCTGTTGGAATTAGGACAATGGGTTTATATATCTGTGGAATGGCTGGGGTGGGGCAAGGAGCTCTTCCCTGCTGCAGTTAGGTGTGAATGTTTCAGCTGATCACCTTCATTAGCATTTGAAGGCTTGCCTGAGCCTGGGAAAATGTCTTTTATAGTTTTTTAATACTTTTAATAATAAAATTACAACAGAGAGGAAACAACCAGGCACAGATTAACACCTCCCAGCAAGAGATTTTCCCAGGCTCAGGCAAGCCTTCAAATGCTAATGAAGGTGATCAGTTGAAACATTCACACCTAGCCCCAGCAGGGAAGAGCTCCTTGCCCCACCCCAGCCATTCCACAGATATATAAACCCATTCCTAATTCCAACAGACCTCACTACCTCTGAGGATGCTTGCCATAGATGCAGGCGAAACGTCAGGAGAAATGCCTCTAGAACATGGCCCTATAGCCCGAAAAAACCCCACAAGAACCTAGTGATTCCAGCCATGAAAGCCTTCGACAATACATTTCTTCATTGTTTCCCTCTTGCCTGCCTCCCTTCCACCCCATTGGCTGGGCGGCCAAAAGCAAGGCCAGGGCCCTCAATGGATCTCCTCCTGGCTTGCTGATGTTACAGCCAATCATAACAAAGGCAGCTCAAAGGGGAGGTGGGCATGGGAACTTTTGAATCTGAAGGCTATATATTTTGTATTTCTCTGCCCAGTGGGTTATGTCGCTTTTGTTGGCCGACTACTGCAATCGTCATCCTTTCCCATTGCAGCGCCTTGGTGCAAAAGGGCACCAAACAAATCTCTCCAAAGGCACTCTCGGCGTAAAAGGCCCTTCCTTCCGCCGCCCATTGGTGGGGTTCCTATTCAGGGGGAGGAGCCCTGGCCTGCCCCGCCCCTCCTGCCCTTTTCTGCCCCCTCCCCTCCTTCCCCGCCTCCCTCCTGCCCCGGCTGTGGCCATGGCTCCTTCTCCGGCCAGCCTTCCCCTCCCTGGCTCCTGCCTTCTCCTCCTCCTCCTCTTCTCGGCTCTTCTGCTCCAAAGCTCCGCCTCCCAAGAGCTCCGGCACCCTCCTGCCAGGATAGGTACCTTTTATTGGGGGGGGGGGGGGGATACATATAGAATTATAAGAGGGGGCAGGTGGGTTCTTCCACTCTTCCTGAGCTCCTCTCTGCAAGGCAGTCGTTGGCTTGCACGGGATTTGGAGAGGGAGGTCATGAAGCTGCATCTTCTTCCTTCCTTCCTTCCTTCCTTCCTTCCTTCCTTCCTTCCTTCCTTCCTTCCTTCCTTCCTTCCTCCCTCCCTCCCTCCCTCCTTCCTTCCTTTTCTTCTTTCTTTCTTTCTTTCTTTCCCCAATCGTTCCCTTACGTGTGTTGTGTGTGCCATGTTACCTCCTCCTTCCTCTCCTTTTTCCTTCCTCCTTCCTTCCTTCATTCATTCCTTCCTTCCTTTCCTTCCTCTTTTCTCTTCCTCTTTTCTCCTTCTCCACCATCCTTTTTTCCTTCCTTCTCCTTCCTTCTCTCCTTCCCCTTCTCTTCCTTCTCCTTCCTTCCCTTCTTCCTCCCTCCTTTCCTTCTTTCTTTCCTTCCCTCCTTCCTTCTCCCCTTCCCTTCCTCCCTCCCTCCTGCCTGATTTCCCTCCCTCCCTTTCTTTCTTTCTTTCTTTTTCTTTCTTTCTCTTCCCTTCCCTTCTTCCCTCTCTCCCTCCTTTAATTCTCTCCCTCTCTCCTTCCCTTCATCCTTCCTTCCATCCATCCTTCCCTCCCTCCTTTCCTTCCCTCCTTCCTTCCTGTCTGACTTCACTCCCTCCTTTCCTTCCTTCCTTTTTCCATCCTTCCTTTCCATCTTCCTTCCTTCTTTCCTTCCATTCCTTCATTCATTCCTTCATCCTGCCTTCCATCCTTTCTTTCCATCTTCCTTTCTTCCATTCCTCCTTTGTTCCTTCATCCTTCCTTCCTTCCTTCCTTCCTTCCTTCCTTCCTTCCTTCCTTCCTCTTCTCTCCTCTTCTCCTTTCCTTCCCTCCTTCCTTCTCTCCGTCCTTCATCCCTCCTTCCTTCGTGCTTACCTACAAAGCCCTGAATGGTTTGGGACCATCCTACCTGCGTGACCGCATCTCCGTTTACGAACCCACACGTTCACTTCGTTCATCTGGAGAGGCCCTGCTCGTGATCCCGCCTGCGTCGCAAGCGCGTTTGGTGGGGACACGAGATAGGGCCTTTTCTGTGGTGGCCCCCCGACTTTGGAACACCCTCCCCAAAGATCTTAGACAGGCCTCTACATTGGCAGTCTTCAGAAAGAACTTGAAGACCTGGCTGTTCCGATGTGCCTTCCAGAATAGGAAATCTCCAATACCAAGTCCCAGAAGCACTTTATTAGAATTAAGATCTGCCGCACACTGCACACTGCACTTACCCTATAATCCTTACATATCACCTGTCACATCAGCACTTTTAATCCTGTACCCATTACTCTGGCCCGGCCCAGTTTTATTGTGTCTTGTGTATTGTTTATTGCTTGTTGTTTTATTGCTTTAATTGTTTTTAATTTGCTTTAGGTTTTGTATTGTTATATTGTGTGTTGAGGCCTTGGCCTTTGTAAGCCGCATCGAGTCCTTCGGGAGATGCTAGCGGGGTACAAATAAAGTTAATAATAATAATAATAATAATAATTAATAATAAACTGCAAACCACTAAAGGCTAATCAAGGTGGCAAATTGCAACATTCATACGTACCTCAAGCAGACAAGAGTTCTTTCCTTCCCTCCTTCTTTCCTTCTCTCCTTTCCTTAATTCCTCCTTCCTGCCTGCCTGCTTGACTTCCCTCCCTCCCTCCTTCCTTCTATCCATCCTTCTTCCCTCCTTTCTTGCTTCCCTCTCTCCCTCCTTTCCTTTCCTTTCCCCCCTTCCTTCCTCCCTTCCTTCTTTCCATCCAGGGATCCCCTTTCCTAACTGTTTAGTTCAGCTTTTAATAGAAAATATCCTAATAATAATAATAATAATAATAATTTCTTACCTGCCTCTCCTCATAACTCGAGGAGGGTTATACAATTGATAATACACACATTCATCTGAAGAAAAAAAAATCTTTAAACTGTACATATTAAAACATAATTCCACAAAAAACATATTAAATTACACCAAACAAAGATCAAACATTTATTTATTTATGTAAAACATTTATATTCCGCTCTTCTCACCCCGAAGGGGACTCAGGGCAGAGCACAGCATATATATGGCAAACATGCCGGGACAAGAATTCATTATATGCATACATAAACATTAAAAATATTTGTCTCAATATTAAAATACACAGTTTTAAACCGTCTTGATCATCTGTGTCTAACCTAAGGTACAAGTTTAAAAAATGTAATTAAAACTGCTTTGGTTGGCCTTTCGCCGGAAGGGATGGGTCTGTACTTGTGTCTTAAATTGCAACAGCTGATCTAGCCATCCGGAGAAAACCAAAACACTTGCATACATGCTTGAACCACAAGTGCAGCAATATATACATACATACATACAACAATATGCATGCACACATTCTTCAACCACAACTGCATAGCTACACAATTTCTCTGACCAATGTACATCTTTATTCTGATATCCCAAGTGTTCATATTTCCAAAACTATATAAAGTCTTTTCCTCTCCCTGATATATATATGAATAGGAAGGTTTCAATGTATTGTCGAAGGCTTTCATGGCCGGAATCACTGGGTTGTTGTAGTTTTTTTCAGGCTATATGGCCATGTTCTAGAGGCATTCTCTTCTGACATTTCACCTGCATCTATGGCAAGCATCCTCAGAGGTAGTGAGGTCTGTTAGAACTAGGAAAATGGGTGTATATATCTGTGGAATGACCAGGGTGGGACAAAGGACTCTTGTCTGCTGGAGCTAGGTGGGAATGCTTCAACTGACCACCTTGATTAGCATTTGATGTCCTGGCAGTGCCTGGGGCAATCTTTTGTTGAGAAGTGATTAGATGTCCCTGATTGTTTTGCTGTTGTAATTTTAGAGTGTTTTTTTTTTTTTAATATAGATATTGTTCATTTTCATGGTTTCCTCCTTTCTGTTGAAATTGTCCACATGCTTGTGGATTTCAATGGCTTCTCTGTGTAGTCTGACATGGTGGTTGTGAGAGTGGTCCAGCATTTCTGTGTTCTCAAATAAAATGCTGTGTCCAGGTTGGTTCATCAGGTGCTCTGCTATGGCTGACTTCTCTGCCTGAAGTAGTCTGCAGTGCCTTTCATGTTCCTTGATTCGTGTTTGGTGGTCCCTATGTAGACTTGTCCACAG